GCGCGCTACTGCACTGTACAGGCAGGCCGGGCAGGCCAGAAGCCAGGCGGCTGGGTAAACGGCTCCGCGAACTCCCATCTGCTTTGCAACAGGTGCGGTAATTATTTGCAGGCAGACAGCCTTGACAGATGGACGGACGAACAGATAGACTGACGAACTGGCGCCGCGGTTCTCGAATGGGAAGTGCACTTTGAAGGGCTGCTGCGCTCATAAGTTTTCTCGCTCTAGTACTTCGTCAGAGTGCCCGAGTGTATATTCAAGATAATGTTCCATTCCAAGCCGCACGGCCTGTGTGTGCAACCAGATCGCAGGCAGACCACCGACGCGGCGGGCGTTTCTTTATTTTTACTTTCAAACTATTTTTCCTCTTTTTACTTTGTCTTGTCTGTGCGGCCGCCGCGCTGCCGCCGCGCTGCCGCGCCCATGGCGGGCTGATATGACGGACCGAGCGCCACCTTGCCCAACCTCCGCTGGCCTCGTCCCCTCCCCCCCCCCACTTCGGGCCACCCGCGCAAACAGACAAGTCAAGGAGCGCAGAATGGGAAACATTGCGACAACGGAGAAAGACGCGAGCAGGGAGAGCACGCACCGCGGCACGGGCCGGACGGCGGATGCGGTCACCGGGCCGCCGGATGCACCCGTCTTGTCGGAGCAGCTAGAGCTAGCCCCTCCTTTGCGACGTCTCCTGCCCGGCCCCATTGTGCACAAGACAGAGAGACAACCAGACACATTAAAAAGTTGTTTCTTTATTATTTTTTGCGGGTGCATGGCACGGTGCATCACGCCCGAGGGGGCAAAAACTCGCGCAATCATGTGTACACGGCCCCCGAAATCACACGCGAATCATTGAGAATCACGCGAAATCAAGCAATCCGAAATCAGCCAAAATCAGTAAAATCGACCGAAATTAGGCAGAATCACACGAAACCAGGCCAAATCAGTCCGAAATCATTTCTTTGCGAACACAATCACACGCAATTACGCTCAACATCACCCTGGTGCGTCGCGAAATAAGGCAAAATCAGCCATGAAATCAATTAAAACCATGCGCAATCATTGCGTTTTCCGAATCATGTGTACACGAAAATCCCGAGTTTTTGTCCCCTCGATCACGCCCAGAGGAATTATGCTGGGTGCGTTCCAGGTTGGACAAAGTTGCGAAGCTGAGCCCGTGCGGCGGCCCGCGGGGAGGGGGAGGGGGAGGGGCTAGGTGCACTGCCGGCCGAGGGGGCGGAAGGGGGCGTGGCGAGGACGGGAACGCGTTGCGACAAAAACCCGCGAACCTTCAAAGAGTCGCGCGACCATTTCCATCTCGGTCGCAATTATCATCCATTAGGCCCGGCCGGCGGTGGCGCGAGGCGGCTGGACTCTCCAGGACTCGAGGTGGGCTCGCTTGATAATCAAGGCATACTCGGCCTGCTCCGGGACGCTGCGTTTGGTCGGCACGTCGGCGCGCCGCCACCCCCGATCGCGCGGCGAGTCGGGGGAGGGAGGCTGCGTCCAGGTTCCTGCCACGCAGCACGGCACGGCCAGCACAGCCCCAGGCCCCACCGGCCGGGTGGCTGACTCACGTCGCGTCGCGTCGCGTCGCGGCGCCACACAATGCCCCGATGCCGCGGTGCCGCGCCCGCCTCACTCGCGAGGGCCTTGGCGGCCTACAGGTGCGACCCTGCAGCGCGGCCCCGGACAGTCGCTCCGTCTCTCTCGCACCCCTGCGCGAGGCCCCGCGAGTGCGAGAGAGACGGAGCCGCGCTGCGCCCTGCTTCCTTCCTGACCGCGCCACATCCTTCACGCCCGAGGGCAGCGACTCTTTTTATTGGGAGGAGAGGCCCCGGCAGTGCCGCCCCGGCACCGAACCGCCGAAATGCGTTTGCGTGACTGCACGCGGTGCACGCCGAGGCGTCTGCCTGTCTGTTGTTTTCATTCCCCCTCCGCGGCACTTCACTTCCGAGCGGCCGGCCGAGTGGTGATAATCTGACCAAGGTGAAGGTGAGATGCTCGAGGCTCGTGTGTGTGGGAGCCGCCAATAGCTCCGTCTCGCCGTCGCCGGCCGCTCCCCGCGCCACCGCCGCCGGCCGCGCTGGCCCCGAGGCAGTGCCTGAGGTTAGGCCCATCAGCGGGATGAACGCGATCATGGCTCTGTCTCTCTCGCACTCACGGAGCGTCCCCCACGGGGTGCGACAGAGACAGCGCGACGACAGCACTGTGCGGAATCTGCCTTGCCGTTTTCGATTGTCGTCCGCTTTAGGTCAGTTGGGCGGCCCTGGCCGTGATCCTCGCGACGACGCGCGCCGCGACGGCCTGCAGCCGGGGCGCGCCGCGTCGCACTGCCCCGCCGCGACGACGACGACACGCGGCCGCGAACCGCGCGGCGCGGCACGGTGCTAGTGCCGTACTGGGAAGTAGCCGAAGTAACGCGTCGCGAATGCAGCTGATGGTGATGGAGAGCGCTTCTCAGAGTCCCTCGTGCAGCCCGCCCCACCCCGCCGTCGTGATGAAGAGCCTGGATTTCCCGACCGCCTCACAAACACAGCCGCACTCACACGAGTGCCTTAGTCAGTGCCTTTGCGCGTTTGCGTTCGTTCGCGGCCCCCAATGTCACGCAAAGGCACTAAAAATACTCCCGGCCTGCACGCGCCGCGACACGCGGACACGCGCCGCCAGCCACGCCCGTGCGTGCGTGTGCGCGTGCCGGGCCCCAGCAACAGCGCGGCGACGCGGCACTGGCATACAATGTAGCCCTGTGTAGCGACACGGAGGCTCCCAGCCCAGCCCAGCCCAGCGCCTAGCGACTGCCTCGCCTGCCACGGTGAGCCGGCCGTCCTGAGAAGCCGCCGCTGCCGCAGCCTCCGGCCCCAGGCGAAAAGCCTGGAGGGGTAGGCAACACTTGGGCTCCGGAGCGCGGCGGGTCTGCCTACCCGCCGACTCGCAGGCGCTAAGGCGCTCCACCCCGCCAGCATGCGGCCGCGCCGCGCCGCGCCGGCCGCCTCCAACGAGGACCCCTCGCTCCAGGTGACGGCGCAGAGTGGCTAGAGTGGTCATGACGCAGATGCTGATCCGATCGCAGAGCGAGGGGCCTGGGCGGGGCGGGGCGGGGTGGGGCGACGGAAGCCTCGGCCAATCGCAGCGCTGCTCGAGGCAGAGCGGCAGCGGGCAGACCCTTGTCCGACCACTTTCCACTCGCTCCGCCAAATTACGGAAATCACCGGCCGGCGAGCAGAAGAAAGGGAACGGCGCGACGCGAAGGAGGACAATTAAGTAACGTTCGTTACTGAAGGAATACAGTGAAAAATACTTGGCCTCGCAGTGCGCGGTGGCGCGGCGTTCTACATTGAAGTACGTCCGAATCGGGGAAAGGCAAAAGTCCTTCCTCCAAGACGGCCGGCGGGCTGCGAATAGCCCTGCCGTCGCTCTGTCTCTCTTGCACCCCAAACGGAGCGTTCCATGAGTGCGAGAGAGACGGAGCGACGAAAGCATTCTTATTCGGGAGCAGCGTCCTAGCACGGCGCTCGTCGATCAAACTTCCACTGTAGGTGACACGACACCGAGGCCGCGCACCAAATGCTCAAAGGCCATCGCGACCTCGCGGTAGTACAACTCTTGAACTTTTTTTTCCTTCCAGTGGCCGTGACATTCGCCGCGCCGCGGGGTGCCGGCATGGTGCCGGCTGCCACGCCTCGCGCCTCGCACGCCCCAGGACCGACGGGGACCGGCGGCCAGAGGTAGCGCCTCTCCTCTGCCCATTGGTAGTCGCTGCAGACTGAGAGTCGTTTTCGTCGCTCTGTCTCTCTCACACCTATACGGGACGCCCCATGAGTGCGAGAGAGACGGAGTGACGAAAACGACTCTCGGAGCGCTGGTCGGACTAGTCGGCCGCTTTGCCTTTGCCTTTGGGCTCCGAACGACATGACGTCATAATCCTCCTATGGCGGTGACAGATTCGGCATGCCGGGCGGGACGCACAGTCGGCGTCGCGTCGCGAGCCGGCTTCGTTAGCGACTGAGTCTTTGGTCTTTCTGACCACCTCACAACATGGGTATTCAGGAGGAACTCGCGGCCGGGTGTGAACACACACGCACACACACACACACGTATGCATACACACACGCGAGCGAGCGGGCGCGCGCTCACAGGCAGAAGGAAGGGAAAAGGAAGAAAGACAACGTTCTAGAGCGTTCGTTCCTTCATCTGTCGACAGCGGAGGCTGCGGCGGCTGGGCCCGCTGGGGCCACTGGTGAGGTAAGAAGCGGTGCAAGGTAGCGGCATGGCCCGGCCCGGCGGGGATATTCCAGGCCAGAATTTGGTTGATTGAACGTCTGTCTCCCCCACGCCCCTCTCTACCTCAGGGGCAAATCCAGCCGCATGCACACACACGCGCACACTCTCACACACAAACACACACACACTCGCACACGGACAAGGCACTCACACACAGGCAGGCTTCCCCTTTAGCGCCTGTGGGAGAAAACCCGCACCGGGAATCGAGTCGATCAACAGTTCGAAACGACCCCAGCGTCAGACTTGCCATCCGCTCCTTGAAAACTGTTGTAACCGCTGACTGGTTGTCGGCCGACGCAGAACAACACTATTTGCATTCGACCCCCGCCCCTTCCCCCGCCCCTCCCTAATCAATTCACGCACTACACTGTACGGACTAGGGACGGAGTCGACGAGGCCCCCGGCCGCTTTCTCCGCATGCGGTGCACCGAGGACGCGTCGAGCACCTCGCCGTCAACGGTGCAGGGCCGCCTCCAAATGGTCCATTTTTTTGCCCCGTCTTTTTCGCGGGTTCCTTTTTGTCTCTCAGATTTGTCTGCTTTGGGTCTGGAGCGTGCCCGGAGCGTGCCTGCAGCGTCCCCTCCAGCCCAGCAACCTGGCGGCGGCCCGGTCGGCCCGGCGGCGCGTCCAGGGTGGCTGCCATTGTCCCTCCCCCCACTCCGCCCCACTACGCCCTACGCCGCGGCCTGCGCGCTGCGCGGCCTGCACCGCGCCACCGGGCCGCCACCATAAAAGCCGACGCGTCCGCGGGCTCCTGACTTAGTACGCCGCCTCGCTCACAGGCTCCCAGTGTGTCGCTCGCCCCTCGTCGCTCGCTCAGCTCGGCTGTGACACGCGGTGAGTGACACGAGGACGTGACGGAGTTGAGTGCGTGACGGCCTTCGTGACGACGGCCTCGACGACGGCCTCGGCGACGGCCTCTGTGACCGCCCGGCCACCCTGCGCTCCAAGAAGACGCGCCTCTCTGGATTACGCGCGCCCCACGCTCGACGCCACGCCGCCGCCACCCTGGAAGACGCGACGACGCGACGACGCGACGACGCGAAGCTCTCGGGAGGCTGCGAACTCTCGGCTCGTTTTGCGGGCTTGCCGGCCATTCACTGCTCGCGAAACATCGTGATTAAAAAGGGCCGCACTGGCCGCGTGTGCGGCGAGGACCGCGTCGGCCGGCCGGACCGTTACCGCCATTGTCCGGGCACCGGGACCAGGACGGCGTCAGCGCGTCAGCACGGTGTCATCGGGCCGCACGGCGCGAGGTCGCCGGTGGCGTAATCAACGCGAAGCGGATCGCTCCCCGCCAGTTTCCGCGCGAACGGTTTGGACTTCGAATCGACGCGCGTTGCCAGAAGTGCAGTCGGCACGCGAAGCGGCGGCAGGACAAGTCGCCTGCTCGGCGAGCTGAGATGCAGCATGCAGCACGCGCCTGCGTCCCCGGCCACGGCGTTACCCTTTGTCCAGGAGCACGCCGCCACGCGGAATCTCTCCCTCGTTAATTAAGTTTTGTTTTTTCTTTGTCTCCCGCCGCGAAATTGGACGAGTGTGTGTGTTCGTCCACACGTTGGGGCGCCGTGCGACTCGTTTTACAGTGCCTGCCCGGGCCGGGCTAGTGCCGCGTGTCGTCTGTCGGGCCGTCCTTTGTCCGCCAGCGAGTGTGTGAGTCACCGGCCCACCGGCCCAACGGCCGCCACTTCCGGGCCGCGGTCCCCACGAAACGTCGCCGTCCACGAAATTTACCCACAGAAATCATGTTTGTTCGCCGCGGCCGCGCAAGCCTCCGGGCAAGCCTCCGGGCAGGCGGGTGGGGCGGCGCGGGGCAGGTCGAGCCTCCAGGAGCAGACAGGCAGGCAGGCGGGCAGGCCCTCCTCGCCACGCACCGGCCGGTCTGAGCCGGGCGAGGTGACGCAACGGGCGTGTGTGCGTGTGTGCGTGTGAGCGCGCGTGCTCACTTTTAAACACGACGGTCATGACGGCCAGCTGGCTGGGCCGGGCTGCCGCTCCCGCCCTACACGTGGTGTCCACGCAGTAATCATCCGCCGCGCCGCGCCCCGCCTCGCGATGTACGCCGACAAAGTAGTGAAAGTCAAAAACAAGACGCGTTCCGCGCCACGCTTCCTTCGTACAGCGGGAAAAGAATTAAGCAATTTTAAAAACGTTGCGGGGGACGCGCGCGCGATTTGGGTGCATGGCCAGGGTGTCAGGAGAGCGGCTTGAGGGGTAGAGGGGGCGGGGGTCCCCCCTTCATTTCAAACCGGATCGTTCAGGAGCACATGGGGCGGGGCGGCGGGGCCACACGCTTTGTCGCCGTAAACGTCGGAGCGAGGCGTTGCTCAACGTGAAAGCACGGCGATGGATCTCCGTGGGGTGTAATGAGACAAGTCGGGGCGTGGCGGGGCGTGGTGGGGCGTGGTGGGGCGTGGCGGGGTTGACCCGTTTCACAACCGCGGCCTGGCTGCACGTTCGCCTCGTACACCTCGCACTGCACGGCCTGCAGCGCGGCCTAACAACTCGCCTGCCCCTCATTAAGCTATCCAAAGGATCGCAAGCAGTGCAAGGCGTCGTCCTAACAGTGCGCCTGCCCCTTCTGCCCGCAGGACCAACCGACAGTCATCATGAAGGCTTTCGTCGCCGTGATGGTCGCCGTGGCGCTGGTGGCGGTGCACGCCGCCGACGAGAAGAAGCCCGCCGACGGCGAGCGACCCAAGACCTTCCGCCGACTCATCCCCGCCGACGTCCTCCGAGGTGAGTCCCGCCCCGTCGTGGCCACGACGTGCATCGCGGGCCGCAGGTTCGACTCCCGGCGGCGGCGCGTCGTTTTCGCTGCGCGCCCGTTGCGCCCGAGTGGCCGCCCTGGGCGCGTGGCGACGCGTGACGCGTGCGTGATGCCGTGCCGGCCGTGCCGCGCGGCTCAGTTGGCCAGGGCCTGCTGCCGGCCCGTCGGCCCGCTGGCGGTCAGTCCCCCGCCCCCTCCCTGCCCTTCCAGTCCTGTTCCAGTCACGCGAGAGCGCCGGCGAAAAGAGCAACAAAGCCTGATTACTTTTTGTGCGATTCACCGGCGGATCTGCATGTGAAATTAGCATCCGTGCGATCGGCGGTGACCGTGTCTGTTTGGGCACCGCGAGGTCAAAGCCCGGAGCCGGAGCCGCGCAGCCGCGCGCTGCAGCCGGGCCGGAGCAACGCGCCAACGCGTCAGAGGAAATGGAAAATAAACCGAAAACCGTGCTGCGGGCTGCGGTGTTGACGTTCTCACTCTCGCTGAGATTTTAATTTGGAACTGAAGCACCGTGAAGTCGTCGGGTCGTCGGACGCCCGGCAGCGTATGCAACCCGGTGCCAGCGGCGCCAGCGGGACCGCAGGGATGCCTACCCTCGCCACTGCAGGCGCTCCGGCCCGCCGCAGCGTCGACCCTGTCGCCGTTCGGACTGGGGCTGGGCCAGCCATGCAACTCTCCGCTCGCTCTCTCTCTCTCTCCCTCCGTCTCTCTTTCCCCGGGCACAAAACGCAGGACGCACCGAGGCCGCGTGGCAGCGGAAGTGCAGTGAATGAGCGGCTCTGTCATCGCCGCCAAGGTGGTCGCGGTGGTCGTGGTGGGCGGGCACTGGGACGGCACTGAGCTGGCCATCCAGCCGGCGATGCCACGGCGGCGCCATGGCGGTGCCTGCAGGGCCCATGCGAAACGGCCGGCCGGCCCCGCCGTTGCCGTCCTTGGCGCCGCCAGCCACGCTCCTGGTCTGCACGCTCCAGCGGTGCAGTGCCATCCAGGCGCGACGCCGACGCCGCAGCCCCGCGCGGCACAACGCAACGCCGGCGAGCCTCTTCCGGTCCTGAGCGGCCACACGCCCTTGGCCTTCAACGCGGCGGGGCGGGGCGGGGCGGGGCGGGACGACGCGGCCGCGCCCTGGGCCCTGCACTGGAACACGCCGCCGCGTGACGTCACCCGCGGCGCCGCCGTCGTCGTCCTGCGGTCCCCCACTACACCGCGGACTGCGGCCCCGCGGCACCGCGGCGTCGCGTCGCGTCGCGCTGCATGCAGGCTGCAGGCCCGCGGCCGCCAGGCCGGGCCATGCGAGTCCAGGCTACCTCCTGGGCCGCGTGCCGCCCTGGTGCTGCACCTGGCCGAGGGCGGGGCGCCAGGCGCCGGGCGGGGCGCAGGCGGGGCATGGCGGCCGGATAAGACGCGATAACGCGTCGGTGCCTCCTCGGCGACGTGCCCCGCCCCGCCCTCGGCCCTCGCTCACGTGCGCGCCGACACGTGGCCGGCCGATTGGCCGACCAGCCTGCCAGGGACAGACCCTCTTTGGCAGCCCGGCCCCCTTGCTTCGCTTGCTTCATTATTTGCACTCCGCACTCCGCAGTCCGTGTGGTGGGTGCAAAGAGCGGCCCGCGACCTGCCCCGCGACCCCGGCCAGGGCCCGGCCGGGCCGAGCCGGGCTGGCGCGGATCCCAGGAGACACTCGCGAGGAGACTTTCGATTGTGCAGCCGCAGCCTTCACCGCCTTGCCCCTCTCTGTTGCAGACTTCCCCGGCATGTGCTTCGCGTCCACGCGCTGCGCCACCATCGAGCCGGGCAACACCTGGGAGCTGTCCCCCTTCTGCGGCCGCTCCACCTGCGTGACCGCCGACGGTGACCAGGCCGGCCGCCTGCTCGAGCTGGTGGAGGACTGCGGCCCCCTGCCCGTGCCCAACCCCAAGTGCAAGCTCTCCGAGAAGACCAACAAGACCGCCCCCTTCCCCGACTGCTGCCCCACGTTCGAGTGCGAGGAGGGCGCCAAGCTCGAGTACCCCGAGGTCGCCACCGCGCCCCCGCCCAAGGAGGCTGCCAAGGAGACCCCCAAGGCCTAAGCACCCCCAGGGCGCGACGGTCCTCCCCCATCTCACTGTGATGTCACCGCCGTGGAGTCCCCCGCCCCTCGGCCCCCGGGCCCAGAACACCAACAAGCGCACCTCGCTGACCTCCGCCACAAGTCTTCCACGACGCGGTGCCCGGGCGCCTCCCTGCACCCCCTCCCCCTCCCCAGCTGCGCGCCCCCTGCCCTGTGCATCCTCGTGGCCCCTCTGGGCCCCATGGAGAAGTGCAGGGCGAGGGGCAGGTGCAGTGCAAAGACTGAATTCCGATGCAACGCCGGCACTGACAAGCTCGCCGAGCGAATTTCTATTGCCCGCAACGTTTTTAAGTCAAACTGTCAAAAATTGTGAAAAAATGCCAAAAAATAAAGTTAAAAAAAGTTAACATAATTCGGTGTGATGTGATTTCCACTTCCCATGTCATCTGGTATTGCACAACCTTGTTCATGTAGTAGTAGTAGGAGGAGGAGTTCAGGGTAAAAAAAAGCAGTGATAACAAAATACACATTTAATACTATCACACCAAAGTCTGCATACAAATCGATATTTGGTTTGCTTAAGCTGATTTATTTGTACAGTGGTAATCTCAAAATTAAAACATTCCAACTCAGCAATTTTAAAACTTGAATAAAAGTGTAGCAACAAATTTCTTAAAAACATGTATAAAAGACTTTAATCTTAGTATAAATCTTGATTCAAAGATTAACGCAAGCATTCAAAAAACCCTAAATACTTTCAATAAAATTCTACAACATAATTAGAATTGACAAACTGGTTAACAAATTCATTCCTAAAAATACAAACTCTGTAATACATTTCTGTGCGCTTAGTGATCCAGGATTCTGAGATTACCTGACACAATCTTATTTTCCAGGACAGCTCCTGATGGTATATCAATCCTATCACCATGATTGGCAATAATAATTACAGTACCCTGAAAACAAAAGAACATAATCCAAGAAACATTCAAATTTGTTTTCGCAACAAGTGAAAATTTATTTTAAATAGTGAAAAATACCCACCTTCAACACAACTCCCCTGCCAAATGTAACATCACCAGATACTGTCAGATGATCAAGCTCAATAATATTGGGTACATTGGCAAACCGGCTCAAGAACTCCTTGACCTTAATGTAAAGAACACAAGTCAGTAAAACAAAACTACAATAAAATATGCAAGGAAAAATAACAAGTGGGGGAAGATTCACACCTTGGCAAAGTGATTATCACCCAATTTCACCAAAGGAGTAGTGAGGAACATCCTTTCTGGATTCATGACTAGAGATCCATTCTGCAGGCTGTACAAATTGCTCATGACCAGCAGAAGATCCGAAGTTTTCTTCACAGGAAGGAACCGCCGACGAGGTACGTTAATTCCTACAAAAAAAAAAGAACAAAAACCAAGAAATAAATTGGATGTCAAAAACAAGGCTGGCACGGAACACAGGAGTTGAAGCAAGGCCTGCTTACCAAGTCCACCGTCAAAAGATTTCATGGCTGCACCGACTGCAGTCTCCAGTTGGATGACATTGAGGCCTTTATCGAGTGTCTTGTTGTTCACAATTATTTCAATGTTCAGAGCATTTTCCGACATGAGCCGATCAATCGCTAAAAGATAAAATGGTTTCTAAAATAAGTTACAACTTTTAAAAACAAAAAAGACAGGTGGTAGGTTGGAGAGGGATAAACATACCGCTGAGCTTGACCCAGAGGTTGTTGGTATTGAAAAATTTAAACGTCTTGACCGACTTGAAGTCCTCGACGTGGTCCTTCGGAACCTGAGCGATTTCCAGGAGACGAAGCTTGTTCTCGTACTGGATCAGAGTACCACCCTGCAAACAAACAAGCGACAGTGGAGTGAACCAGTTCAAGAAGAACTTCCCCGGAGCGGACAGAGCGTTTACCTTCACGTCGGCGCGAGTCTTGTCGGTGACCTCCATGACGAACTCGGGCGATTTCTCATCGGTGTTGAGCAGCAGGTCGGCGATGCTCAGATCCACGGTCGCGCCCAGGTTGTCGATGTTGGAAATGAAAACGTACTCCCGACCCTGCGTGGGAACCAGAACGAGAACAACGACTTAGCATCACAAATGTTCGCGACAGGAAATAAGGAAAGAAAAACATCAGGACGGACGGACGCTATACCTGCTCCAAGAACTTCTGCAAAAGACCAGAGTTCTTGAAACTCTCGTAGAAATCGCCGTGTCCAGGTGGATACCAGCTGCAAGGAGGAAAGAAAAAGTTTAGAACAACCTGCAAGGTTTCGAGAAAAACGAAAGCTAGGTGCAGGCAGGACTGGCGTCCGACGGCCAAGCGCCTGCGCCGTGGAGGCCGGCAACCTCTCGCTCAGCCAGACACGATGGGTTGCCTGCCTTGCCTGCCGCCGGGCGGGGCTAGGCGGAGCGCCACGCCACTCGGTGTCGCGAACGCTAACGCAGCGAGCGGGACGCGCCACTCTACTCACGCCTCCATGTCGTTCTCCACGTCGCAGTTGCGCGCGATGGGCATCAGCGACTCCTTGTTGATGCGCGGGTAGCAGCTCTGGTTGAACGTGTAGATCTCCACCTGCAGGTTGCGGTACTTGCGCGTGATCTTCTGCGTGTCGGCGTCCGTGTTGAACGAGTTCATCAGCACCAGCGGCACGTTCACGTGGTACTTCTTGTTGAGGTACTGGAACACGGACGGGGAGCGTCATAGCCTGGCGCAGGTGTCCAGGGGGCGGGGCTCTAGAGGTGAAGCTCACCTCTATCTGCTGCACGGTCAAGTCCAGGAAGGTGAGCTCGGAGCGCACGGGGATGACGGACTTGGGCCCGTGGCACCCCATGGACGTGCCCAGGCCTCCGTTCAGCTTCACCACCACCAGCTTGTTGAGCATGGCGTGCAGCTGCTCCGGGGCCGGCTCCTTCAGCGTGCTGTGGTCACGAACCTGGCGACACAAAGCAAAAGGATAACCGTCAATCGTCTGGGGTTCATTGAATCGAAAACAACGACAGGTGGCCGAGTTTGGGTGGTTTGGGGGAAGCGCCTGCGGATAACACTGGGCTGATCTATTGGCAACAATGCCGTTCGGGAAAAGGGGGGGGGCGAAGGGGGTTCCCCTTGCGGCCTGGTGGGAGGCGGGGGCCGCGTCGGGCCGTCCCTTGGCGCTGCTTGGCGCCGAGGCGGTCAGACTGCATTTCCAGCCAGTGTGCTGGAGAAGTGCAGTGCGGCTGCGGACGTGCAGTAAAAGATGCCCTAGAGGGGGGGGGGGGGGATGATTAGCAGACGTTCGTCAACCTCGAGGCCTTGAGCGTGCCTTGAGCGGCAAGGGCCGGGCGGGGCCGGGCGGGGCCCTTCCGAGGCCAAGGACCGCGCGCACCACCAGCCGCCGCCGTCGGCCAGCAGCAGGCCCAGCAGGCCGCATTACACTACGAAGCTCCGCGCGCCAAACTACTGCCTCTCGCACAAGACTAATCCGGGAAATTAAAAAACAAAAAAAAAAAAGAGACCCCCCTCCTTTTCAATGGTCTGCTAAATACGTACCGCATTCTCGGGCAGCTTCTGGATGCGGTCCCAGCTGATGGTGGAGCCCTGGTCGAGCAGGAAGCGCTCGAAGAGCCGCTGGAATCCCTGGAACTCCTGCTCCACGGTCTTCTTGGCCTCCTCCTCGGCCGTGGCCAGCAGCCCCTCCAGCTCGTGCGCGAGCTGCGTCTGCGCATCGCGCTTCGTCAGCTCCTTGAACTCCCTGGAGCCGGAAGGCACACGCTGGTGGCCGCGCATCTGTCGAGGAAAGCACATCGTCAGCAAACAGAAACCGTCAACACGCGCCGAAGATTCGGCTCAACTAAAAAACAAATTAAAACGCATTTGCTACGGGAGAGAGACATCTGACGGTTTGTTCTTATGTTCTAAAGGGGATTGTGTGGGGTGTTGAAATGAAAAACAAACAGGATTTTTTTCCAGCAGTGTGCGCCGCGCGATATGGGAAATCGACCGGAAACCGTCTTGTCGTGTGTAAGGCTGAGGCCAAGATCCCTCCCGCGGTTCAAGACCGGCTGTCCTCGAATATCAGAGTGCAATTGCCAGCAATCGCTTTCTGACCCAAGCACGAAAGGCCACGACCGGCGGCTCGTCCAAAGGCCCGGGTTCGCCTCCCGCCGAGGCCTCTTCGAACGCCATTTTATTTTCTTGAACCGCTCTGTGCGATGAGACGACTAGGGGTGCTCGAACTGGGGGACGCCAGTCGCCTCGCAACTGAGGGAACACCAACAGAGGCACCTACCCGGTAAAGGGGAGACTCGCGTCAGACCGGCACACTGGCAGAGCCGGCGGCATGCGTGCAAAAACGGGCCCGTCATCGCGTCGCCGCGTCGCCGCGTCGCCGGCTAGACACGCACGGTGACGACGCAGTGCGAGCCGGTCCAAGTCATCCAGTGGCCTTGACGGCGCCGCGCCGCCGGCTCGTTTACCGAAAGTCGGTTCGGTTCCTCGATGGCAAAAACACGCCTCACTGGCGGGACTGGCAGGACAATGCGCACAAACAACCGTGCCATGCGGGGCTGCGGGGCGGAGACAAGTTCTCCGAGGAGCACCCAAAGGTCATAAAGCATGCCGGACCGGACAGAGGGGCATACGACGACCCAGGAGGCGTCTCACCGTTCAGACGCTCATCAAAACAACGCCCCCTTCCAGCCACCCGGACCGCGGTGACCGCCAACACCGCCACTCCGGTGTAGAGTACAGGCATCGCCAAAAACACCGTTTCCGCCACCGTGCACGTATAACTGCGAACAATCCGCCGCCGGCAGCGGCTGGGTCCAGCCGGACACTTTAGACCGGTGTTTGATCCCGGCCACCGGCCGGCGATTTGTTTTTGGATGGCGCGACGCGGCCGGGAAGGCGACCTTGAGAGTCCTCGTCGGCAGCCCGCGGAATGGCGTCGCGACGCCGAGGACCGCGACGACGCCAACCAGCCCGACGACGCCGACACCCGGAAACCCCGTTGCCCCCGAGCACGCACCCCCACGACGAGTACCTGGTTGGTGGGTGACAGCCGGTCCGGCAGGCGGCCACGCCGCCCCTGCGGCACCACGCCGTCGTCGTGGAGCAGGCCGCTGCCGACACGCTCGTCCATGCCGTCGTCGGCGTCGTTCACCTCCCGCACCGGCGAGCCGCAGCTTCCCATGTGGATCACGACCATGGCCAAGCGGGGCGCGTGCTAGGTGCCAGGTCGGACTGCTTCAAGTTCAAGAGCGCGTTTGTTGCTCGCGACGTTCTGCCACTGTGTTGTGGACTGGGCCGGCTCGGGTGTCTGCGCAGAGTCTCGGGGGAGGAGGGGGAGGAGGGGGGCCGCCCAGGCACGACAAGGCAGCCAGGCAGCCAGGCACAGCTGTTCGCTGGTTGGGCGAGCCGGCGGGCCCAGTGCGTATGCTAGCGCACTCTACCGGCGGCGGAAGCTGGCGAGCGAGTAAACAGAGACGGCAGCCGAAATAGCGAAAAACAGACGCCTGTCCGACTGTCCGTCCGACTGTCCGTCCGTCTGGCTCCAGTCCGGTCCTTCCCTCCCTGGCACCTCGTCGTGATAACGGGGCTCTGGGCGTCGGCAGGGCGTCGGCAGGGCTGGGGGCTCGGGACACCCTCCAGCTGGGGTGGCGTGTTTGCGGCAAACAGCCTCACGCGAGCTCGGCTCGCTCGGCTCCACTCCGGCGACCGATAAAAGCCACCGCGCGTCACGCATTTGGATGGTCGCCCTTTTCTTGTAGCGCCGTCCAGCAGAGCCACCCTGAACCTGAACCACCCCCCTTGTCCGCTGACGCCGGGTGGCCGAGGCCGAGGCGGCGGCTGGGTGGCTCTGGTTACCCCTGGCCTCCACGTCGAAGGCGGCTGCGACACGCCCAGAGCCACGCCCAGAGTCACGCCCCCCGCCGTGCAGCCGCGACGAATGGGTTGCCTACCCTCGCGGCGCCACCCGCCGACCGCCGCGCCGCCGTCGACGGCCGGCCAACGTGCCGCTGAAGGGCACGCCAAGGTTAGGTTAGGTCAGGCGCGTCGCGTCCCTGGCAGAGCAGAGCAGGCCAGGAAGGCCAGAGCCCGGCGCGTCTAATAATGGTACACGATATCAAGATCCATTTGCACCACACAAACACACACCCACATGTACACACACGCACACAGACGCACGGCGCACACCCACGGCCGCCAGCCAATAGCCCCCGGGGAGCGCGTCGCCGGCCTCGCCCCGCGGCCGCGGATTGGTCGCGGTCTCGGCGCGGCCACTCGCGGGGACAGCCGTGTAGGCCCGCCGCGGTGGTGCGGCGTGCAGTGTTGCCTACCCTCCCGTCCGCAGGCGCTAGGCGCGGTCGGCCTCGCCTCTCGCTCGACCGGAGGAGAGGTCCAAACCGTTTGGCACTTGGCACCATCGCCTTCGTCTCCCAGACGATTATAGTGCACTTTGTACGGAAATAGCGACCTCCGCCCTGTCCCGTCCCAATGTGACTGTCTTCGACTCTTCGACCCGCGGCGAGAGGCGACGAGGCGAGGCGAGGCACGCCTCTCTAATTGGCTTGTGGCTCTCTAGTCTTTGGCGAGACCCAAGTTTTATTGATTCGACTCGGCAGTCATTAGGATCCACGCACACGCGGCAGCGCGGCACCGCGCCCCACTGCCGTCGCCCGACCGAACGAACGCCACTTTGGACTCTGGCTTCATTGAAAATGGCGAAAAAGCGAGCGAAAGCCAATTAATCAGTGGAGGGGTCAGCGGCCGCGACGGACCCGACGGGCTGTGGGTTGGCGTACCGATCCTGGGCCTGCAGTGCACTCGAGGCAGGGTCACGTGACGCGGCAGCGCTGCAGCCGCGGCCGTCGCCTGTCGCCCCCCGGCCACCCGTCACTCCAGGCTGCTGGACTCGTCGACTCCAGCGGGCCACCGACTCCGTGCCGCTGACTCCGTGCCGGCCAGCCACCTGCCGGGCTGGCCCTGCCCTGGCCGGCCGGCCGCGTGGGTGGAGTCAGCTGTGCCAGAGCGAGAGGGAGAGAGAGAGCGCGCGTGATAAGATTGCGGGGCGGGCATCTGTAGTGGTGGACAACAGTGTCAGGGCACCGGCCCGGCGGCACCCTGCTGACTTCACGCCAGAAAGAGCCGATCGGGCGTGCGGGGCGCAGTCATTGAATGTGTGCGTGTGTGTTCGTTCCGATATCTCCCTCTGGCATTATACTCGACAATTAAACATTGGGGCTCGCTGGCCGCTCTAGAGTAACCTGACCCCGACGGCAATGGCCAGCCGAAAAAAGGGCCGCGAGGCGGTTGCGGGGTGCGGGGGTCTGGCTGTCTCTCTCGCACCTCCACAGAGCGCCCCGTGAGTGCGAGAGAGACTGTTGGTTGATAAGGCACACCGCCAGGCGGCCCTCGCGGGCCCTGCAGGGGTTATCGCGCCAAATACTCGGACGACTTGGACGCAACGCACGGAGGCACGGACGAGGGCGTGTCCAGGCGCGGCGCGGGGGCGGCGCGGGGGCGGCGCGGCGCGGCGTGTTGATGATGGGTGTCCGCCTGATAACGCATCCTCACAATGGGAATCGCAGTGGCGTGGCGTGGCCGTCGCAATAACTGCAGCGAGCACGCGCAGCGCCCAGAAACGCCCAGCAACGCCGAGCTCGTGAAGGCCGGCTGCCAGTCTTGACAAACAGCGCTGACGCCGGCTGACAGTAGTGGGGCGACCTTACCCCCGAGGGCCGAGGCGGTCGAGGCGAGGGCTGGGTGTCCTGGCCGCCCCCGCACGGCAGGCAGCCGCGCGAATGGGTGGAGCCGAGCCCGAAGGTGCGCGCACCGCGGCGCGGAACATGTTTCCGTTTCCACTGACGGGGGCGTTGTTTGGCTGTTTGCAGAGTAGTGGCGGTAGTGTTGCCGCGGTGGCGATACGCCGTGTGTGCGCTGCTTCGCACAACGCACGCAAATAGCGCCCTCGGTTTGCGTGCACGCCGGGCATGCCCTGTAGGGCACCGCCCAGGCACCGCCGAAATGGCGCCCGGGAAAGGGAGACTGGGGTGAGTTGGACGGCGCGCACGGCGCGGCGGGCAGGGCAGCACGGCGCCGATCAGGGCACACCGCGACCGCGTCCGCGTCCACGGCCGCGCTGCGAGATACGCCGCCGCTGCAGCGTGCGGCGATCTACATTGTTTGTCGGAAAATTCCGGACGTGCGGTTGGAGAGAGACGCTTGCCGCTGCTGCCTCGGACGGCAGTGCACTGCGGTGCAGGCGGCTGCAGGTCCCCAAGGCGGCGCGGCGACGTCGCCGTCATCGTCGCAGCCTCGGCCTTCCTGGCGTTCCGAACGGTCCGAACCCAAATCGAGGCGCGATTGGCCGGACCGCTGATGCGATGCCCTCATTGGACGCCCCTCCCCCCTCCCCTTTCCTCCGTCGAGCTACTTATAGCCGTTGTGAAATATCTGAGAATGGTTCCGGTCAATTTCACGCACGCATCGGCATGGGGCTGGGCAGGCTGGGCAGGGCGCCGGGCGAAGTGCAGCCAAAATCGCTCCGAATCGGTTTAATAGCCTGCTATGCTGCGCAACCTTGCGCCGCCACGCCACGCCACGCCCGATATCACGGTGGAGGGTGAGCAGGCCAGGCCGTGCGGGCGCGCCGGGGCGGAGGGCGAGTGCCGAGGGGAGGACCACGACGACCACCACCACGAGGCCGCCACGGGGCCGGCGTGTGCGCGGCGCACGGCCACCCCCTGCTCGTCGTCGTCCGCCTCGACCTACATCGTGTGGACCGGACCGGGCTGGGCGTCCTGGTCGCGCGCTGTCGGTGGCGTGTGCAGTGCCGTCCCCACGCCCCCCACGGCGGCAGCGGTCCACTTTGCGGCTCTGCGGCCCGGCGGCGCGGCGGCGCGCGGCGTGGTCCATCGCGGGCGTAACGCGAGACGGGTCAACACTGGCCAGTGGTATCTCTACACAGCCACAAGAGATGCTCGGCGGCGCGGCCACGAGGAAGTGAGGAAGCGGCCTTGGCTGTCGCGGCTGTCGCGGCCGCTATCCGCTCTTGTTCCGCGATTTATCGGTCTCGCCATCGCGGATCCGCGCGGCCAGTGGCAGTGCGTGGCAGTGCAGTCACTAGCCCCGGCGTTGGCCTAGGTCGGGCCCCGGCTCCTCAGGCCGGCGGGGGCGGGGCAGGCCTTGGGGCAGGCCTTGGGTGCCTTGGGGCAGGCTGCCGGCGCCTCGCACAGGGCGTCCACAGTGACGGGGTGGCGGGCTGGCGGAGTGGCAGGTTTCCCCAGCCGGCGTCGAGGTTGTTTGCTCCTGCCGGCCTGCCGGCCTGTCACGGCGCGAGAAAACAGAAAACCCGATCGGAATCCTTCCACGGCGGGCGGGCCGTGTGGCCACAGTGAAAACAATTCCACGAAATCGGCGCGACAATGCACCAGTGCAGATAAAGCGGACGCAAGACTTGTTGGGAAACGGCGACTCCAGCAGCCAACACGCCCACGCCCCGCCACGCCCCGCCGCGCCACACTGACTCGAAATCCTCCCTCCAGCAAGGCAGCGCGGCCGGCGGTCCGCCGCCTCAGGACTTCCCTCGCCCTGGACAATGCCGCCAGTGGACCTGCCGGCCGGCCAGGCCCTGTCGCTCTGCCTCTGTCGTACTCCTGGGCGATGCTATACGAGTGCGACAGAGAACGAGCGACCGCGGAGCTAGCACCTCGACGAGGGGCGCGGAGTCCTTCGCGTCGACCGGACGAGGCGGAGACAAAACCAAGTAGGCGAGAGAACAGGGAAAATAAAAGAGGAAAAAAGAAGTAAGGGACGATTCGTTATCAGCTCCGATACGACCGTCATGAAGCGACATAAATACACAATCAGAACAATAACTCGCAAGGAAGGGTACTTGTTTGCTTGTTCGAGAAAGGCGGCGGCCCCACTGGCGGCCCCGGCCTGCTGGCTGATTCCGAGCGGTGCTTTCGTCGCTCTGTGTCTCTGGCACTCGTGGGGCGTGCCGTTTGGGTGCGAGAGAGACAGAGGCGCGCCTCCCGCGCCCCGACGGTGGCCAAGGTCGTACTCACCACCTCGAGCACGCGGTCCATGGCGGCGTCTTGGTGGTCCTGGGCACCCCGTCAACCACCGTGCCTTGCCGCTCGCCGCGCGGTACCTGCCGCCCCGGCCTCGCGGAGGGCTTCGCGGAGGGCCTCGCCGACGAGGACGTGGGGCTGGGGCAAGCGGCGGCGGGCTGCGCTGAGGTAACTCAGTCGCTCATCGCCACTTTATCGCAAGCCGTTATCGCAACTTATCGCGCGCACACAGCACGCTCGTCACGGCGGCGCGTGTCACACTGTCACTCTGGCACGGCCACACTGCCACGCTCGTCACGGCGGCGCGAGTCACACTGTCACTCTGGCACGGCCACACTGTCACGCTCGTCACGGCGGCGCGTGTCACACTGTCACTCTGGCACGGCCACACTGCCACGCTCGGCACGCCCGGCTGCTGCGCTAGCGCGGCGCGCCTGTCCTTCCTAGTCCTTAGCGGCCGCGCAGTAGACGCGCAGTAGCAGACGACGCGCCAGCAACGCCCCGCCACGCCCCGCGGCGGGAGCATGGCGCAGCATTGGCGCCGCTGAAAAGGGCAACCCAGACCCAGGGCGACCCAGAGCCAGCCAGAGGCCCGGCTAGGGTACGGCAAGCGTAGGGCACGGCCAAGCACGGCCGCCTGGGACCCGCAGCACGCGACTTTGACGCGACAGCCGCGTCCGTGAGTCAAGTCCTGGGAGACGGCGGAGTGCCGTAGGCCGTGGTGCTTCAAACTTCAAACGCGTCCAGACGCTGCCAGACGCTCCACTCGGCAAGGCATCTTCCTTCATTCAAACAGTGTGTACAGTCGCGATGCATTGCCGGTCCCTCCCCCTCCCCTCGGGCTCCACGTGGGGAGAGTGGAGGCGCAAATAGAAAGGACGCGTTCCCCGAAATAAGGCACGTGTGCCAAAGGCAGCCAAAGGCCGCATCGTCGCCACTGTGTACAGGACTTCCCTGCGGACTCATTCCGAACACTGCTCTCGTCGGTCTGTCTCCCTCGCACCCTTACGGGACGCCCCTTGAGTACGAGGGAGACAGCCTGGCGTGGCCGTCGTGGCTTTCCCCGAGGTCACGGCCGTCACGGCCGTCGCGGCCACACGCGGGAGGTAAACACGGCGTTCCCCGCGTCCTGGAAATCTGGAGAGCGCGTTCACCGGCCAGCGGCCCAGCGCCGCAGCGGCCCAGCGGCCACCGTGGCCGGGCCAACGAAAGCCAAAGCGCAGTGGAGCCCGTGTCAAGAGGAGGGGTGGTCCGAGCCGAGCACATGCCCAGTGCGCGGAATCTTCCACGCCCGGCCGCACTGCACCGCACTGCACCGCACTGCTAAGCCCAGCGAAGTGCGGCGAACAGGGGCGAAAGGGAACGTGGCCACGCTGGCCAGCCCGCCAGGCCCGCCAGCACTCACGTCGTCTTTTAGAAGTAAGATATCTTCCAGGAAGCAAACATCTGTGTTGTCATGAAGCAAAACAGATAGCACAGCGCCCACCCTGCCCCACCAGGCTACCCTCCCCTTCCCTCCCGACGGCAGATGTCTCTCTCTCTTACTCTCTTACTCCCCCCCCCCTCCCCTTCCTCTCTCCCTCACTCTGTCTCAATCCTTTCTCCACTATTCTCGTGGAGGCAACTAAGGCACTATGGCTAATCAAGGGATATGTTGAACTTACTTTGTTTTTGTCATGCATGTTCACCATCCATGCTGCATGCACATAAAAGCACAAAGACATTCGGGTTAATATCAACAAACAAGCTGTCTAGGTACAATGGTCTTGATAGTTATAATTATTATCTTGCTGGTTACTTAAGAGCCATCTTAGATCTATGTCTAGTAGAAAAGGGTAGCACTAGGAATTTCGAAATAAAGCAACAATAGTATTATATTGGAAAATATAGGGTTGTTATAAAGCAGAAATAAATTTGCGCTACTCTTGCTCTTTATCCTGTCAGCTCTACGTGTACTGTAATGACACGACAACTACCCTAAACGTTTTTTTTAAATGCACTCCCTCATGTTATTCAAAATGCAACTTTTTAAAAAAATATTTCACCAGTGATTAGAAAATGATATTGACAGGTAAAAGAAACAAGGGTGGAACACCCACTCAGCAAGAGGTTATGTTAACTCATGTATTCGAAGGAAACCTAACTCAATTTTAAAGGGAGATTTTAATTTTTTCTGATATGTTTAGTATGTGAAATAGACACAAAACACATATCTAAGGATACATTGAGAGAGTACTGTTCTTGTATATCTTATCTACGTCGATGAACAAGTACACTCGGAAGTAAAGGACGACGTGTCACTCACCGACTTCTTGTCATCGCTTCCGACTTGAAGCATGCCCGCCATCGAGTGTCAATAAAAGGAGCACTTGAACGACGACCTTCAGATTTGCAACGGTAACCTACGTCGGTATTTATCTTTTCGGAGCCGACGACACGCGAGTCGCAGACGCCAAAAAGCTATCCGTCTGCTAGCATGGTAGGCAACGTGCAACACCACCGCCCCTGTTCGGCAAGTGCGTGGGCCGGAGCATGCGACCGCAGTTTGGCGTGAAGGCAGGCCGATCCGATGACTCAGAGGGAAAGCGTTCGGCCGGACTATTTTGCACGCCGGCCCGGTCGTGGCGCCAATGAATCGCTAATCGGCACCAGCTGCTGCAGTTCGTCAACCTGTGCCCCGCCCCCCGCCCCCTGCGTGGCTCGCTCGGGGCGCGCCCTTTCAAACCGGGTCGCTGGCCGGCGCGGCGGGGCGCCTCGCTCGCTCTCGGCCCTTCTCTTTCATTGGAGGACGTCGCGTCCGCGTCCGATGCGCCTGCATGTGCTCGGGCCGGGTTCACTCCGACGGGGTGGGCAGCAGGGCGGCAGGGCGACCGGGCAAATGTCTTTCACCCTGCGGTGCGGTACCCACGGCTCGGCCGAAGCCAAAGCCCGGCTGGGCTGAAGGCCCGGCCGGCCGGCCGCTTTCGGTTTGGCTGGCTTCGGCTTCGGCTGGGGATTCCTTATCGCGGAAAAAGACTCTCCGCTCGACGCGATTCCGAAGAGCCGTTTCGTCGCTCTGTCTCTCTCGCACCCCTCGGGGACGGCCCGTCCGTGAGTGCGACAGAGACATCGACGAAACCACGCTTCGGAACACTTCGGAATCGGTCTGCTAGCCCTGGCCTGCCCTGCAGACTGATTCCGAGAGTCGTTTTCGCCGCTCTGTCTCTCTCGCATCTAAAAGGGACGCCCGATGAGTGCGAGAGAGACAGAGCGACGAAAACGACTCTCGGAGTCAGTCTGCAGGCCGGGCCTCGACGGCGGCCGGCGGGAGCGGGAAGACCACCCCGGCCGACAGACCCGACCACTGCCGACCGACCACCCCTCACTCTCGCGCTGACCGCTCGCCTCGCCGGTCCCTGTTCCGTACCCGTTGTTGTCCGGCAACCACTTCAGTTTCGGTCCGACTTCCAGTCGATTCGCATCGTGCTTCGAACTGTGAACCCTCTGTGTGTCCTTCTGAAGCGCATTGACGAAGTTAGTAGCGAATATCATGTTGAAAATGGAGATGTCATCGAAACTGGATAAGAACTCCAATCTAAAGAAGATAACAAAGCGCAAGAAGGCGTATGGTAAGTTGAGTCAAATACCGTGCGTATAAAAGATGGTTTGCCATCCAGTCATGATACTCAAAACCGGGTTCAGGATTGTTTCTATCAAGTTGAGATGAAACAGAAAGAGTGCTGGAAGTTAGGAATAGGACCGTCACGTGTCGTCTCACCCGTGACTTGACATCAGGTTGCTGAGAAATGAGTGTTGTTCCTGACAGGCTACTGTTGGGGAAAATCATTGTGGGTTCAGTAAAACGGCAATCTAGAACTGCTCCCCTCAGTCATGCATATAATTAAAAAGTTGTATAATCCTGCAGTCCATTTAGTATACCAGTGCATGTAATCTCCTTATCGTTTTCAGCTTCACGAATTGAGGAAGTTGCAGCCATGAGAACAAAGTTTCCAACTAAAGTTCCTGTAAGTGACATGATTTCTGTGTATTCAATACATTTATCTTTTTACTTATTCTCTCTTAATTCATATCTTTTAAATTGCAGACAATTGTTAAGAGATTCCATAAGGAGACAAGTCTTCCACTTCTAGAGAAAGTAAAATTTCTTGTCCCAGAAGAAACCACTATGTCCCAGTTTGTAGCAATTATCAGGTATTTCATGATGATAATATAAGCAAAGATTTATCCTCTTAATTTGATCAGAGTTTTAATTTTGTATATTACTGTTTTATTGCAGGAAGCGAATGAATTTGCGTCCCAACCAAGCCATATACCTGCTGGTTAACAACAGGTCTATGATGAACCTATCTATGACCATAGCTGAAGTTTATAATGAACATAAAGATGATGACGGAATGCTTCATGTGACCTATGCATCGCAAGAAGTATTTGGTGCTCCTGATGTGAGTGATATGAGGGTTTCAACAAACAACTACAACAGAGGTAAGGCATATTGAGAGATAAAGATGTATATATTACTCTTGCCCACTGTTTCTGTTAGGTAAATTCTTTGAACTCTTTCAGGTGACAGGGTCGATCCTTGATCTGATGAGTATTGTTCCATGTCTGATTGGAGCTTGAACTGAAGACTGCTTGAGCTGTTGAAACAAATTTCTCACCACCTCATGGGCAGATGTGAGAGAAGACCTGGCCATCGTTCTTAATCTCCATCTCAATGGACAGTATGGCCTCAAGTTTCAGTGTGAAGAACTCTCAACTGTTTGAACAGGCTGCACATCACAATGCAGAAGCCTTCTTCTCAGAAATGCCCTTGAGGCTCATACAAGAAATGACTGAAGCCAAAATGGTTACATTGGAAAGGATGCACTTAAAAGTGATAGATAATGAAGGACTTGATTGGGGAAGCGTTTTGCCGTCAGCCGTTCAGTCCTTAGAACTTGATATACAAATGATGATGATATTGTGATGGATATCTCATTGTGTATTTCATTGTAATTTCTCAAAGTCTGACACTAGAGATAATTAACTTAGTATATTTAATTATTCAATTATGTGATCTTAGCTTGTTCTTTGAGCTTACTGCTGCTTTCTCGACATTCGAGGACAAATGTATTGTAGTTAAATTGTACCTGCACCAATATTTTTTTTGAATCATGTTAGGTCATTCTGATCTCTATTTAGGAAAGATTGAAACCCCTGTGTTTTAATGCTGCATTTGCATTTGATGACCACATCATTTTTATAATTATGACGTATTTGACACTGTTTCTTTTAAATTTAGTACAAGGCTGGGTTATTATTTAAGGTGATCTGGCCAGTTAAACAGGAAATGATGTAACAGAGTTAGATGATGAACTATTTTTATATTTGTGCTTATTTACCTGATAAGTTCCATTGAATTGATCACCAAAGCATTTCACACAATCAAATATATTAGAACTATCTTGCCTCAATGATTTGTCAGTGTTAACATTCTCCTGTGATAAAATATTTGTTCCTGTAAATATATAGTTAAACCTATTGTGTGGTCATATTTCATACCTCCATTTTAGCGGGTTAGCTCTTATCACCAACTACATCCTATTATCACAGAAACACAGTAAGTTTGACACTACAGTGAATTGCATGTAAGTATCATATGATGTAATAGATGACATTCAAATTCTCTGCCTCAGAGTGCACAGGACTAAGAGCATAACATTAAATATCAGTCATTCCTCCCATACTAATAAACCTAGGAATATTTTTAACATAAGTTCATTCCATAGCATTTAAACTTTGTACAGCCACCATCAATGTATCATGTACTTGTTTGGCAAATTGGACTTGTGCCCGAACAGTAGCTAGATATTGAGGATAAAGGAGACCATCTTGACCTGGCAAAGGCTCTGTCCTGGTGGGCAAAACATTAAGGGGTAAATACCGTTGACTGCTAGCTCCTTGGGTCAAACACTCGATGGCAGTTTTCTGTTTGGAAAAGGAAAAGAAAAGAACTCACTGATTATGTACATATTTGCAGTAAAATAGATATGATATAATTTATATAATATGTGCTCAATTTCTAATCTCACACTTGACAACTGTTTGAACTCTTAAATATTTTCCAATGAAAAAGAGGATACTTACAAGGTGTAGTTCAATTTGGTCACAAGTACTGTAGAAAGCCTCTAGGCTTACATCTAAGCGAGGAACCATATCTAAACCTTTCCTGGAATTAGTAACAAAGCCCAATTAGACTAATGTCACTACAATTACAAAGATAGACTGCAGTCTATGTGAATACGTACGATGCGCCATTGTCTACAGTTGTATTATAATGGAGAAGATGTGCAGCACTTTTTAGTGCAACCTGAAAGAACACGCATATGACAAATGCCACTGGAAAATAATAACCGACACAAGATTGTCAGAATTCAACCTACAGCTAGGTGCTCTTTAAGCGGTCCGATGAGCGACTTGACTTTGGATATGTTGTCCAGTTTTTCTTGCGTCTGTTGTTGTTGCTGCTGCTGGAGCTGCTGCGCTTGGGACCCTGGAGTGCCCGGCTGCTGCTGTTGACTGCCCGGCCCGGTCTGTCCTGGCTGTTGCTGACTTTGCTGGGACTGCTGAGCAGCTTGCTGCTGAGGGTTCTGTTGAGGCTGGCTGGAAGGTTGCTGCTGCTGCTGGTTAGGTTGAGGCTGCTGCTGTTGTTGCTGTTGCTGCTGCTGCTGGGACTGCGGACCCTGCTGCATGGCCACTTGTCCTTGCGGAGGCACGTTCATCCTTTACAAAGGGCAGGGCCCACAAACCTACGCACACAACGTCAAAGCACAAAACTTTCCAATCCACAGTTTGAAGCAGACCGGTTGTTGTGTCGTCCGTCTGTCATCAAGCACAAACGAGCTGGTGAATAGGCATGTTGACTGTTATTTGCAGTCAGCCTTGTTGCCAACCGAACCAACAAAACTTTTGCAAACCCTGCCAAGTTTATTAAATGACTTTATGAATGAAGTGAAGCTTGAAAAAGTGGTGGGCGATCTCGCAAGCTGACCTGTCATCAAATAATACACACAAAATTTATGTCCATGATTTAGGCAAAGCGGGCTAAGCGGGTGGAAACACATTCACATTCGCGTTGGGGTTTGCTCCTCACCCGTTTGTTTTGTTTTTGTTTATGGAGGACCGTGACCGTGGAAGAGGTGTGTTTCGGTTTGAACTGAAATATCACCGAAAATTTAAAGTACTATGTCTTCCTCATGGAAGAATTGGTGCCGTCTATGTGCCAATTTGAACAGTGGTGTTTCAATACTCAGTGATGGAACCAACCATGGCCTGAGTGAAAAGATAAAGAAATACTTGTCCATATCGGTGAGTGCTTAGGCCATCGCTCATTCAAATGATTATTTTCTCAAACTAAATGCGTTATCAGCTTTAAACGACAGTATCAATTTCAATATCCATTTAGGCTTTGCAAATCCAAGGACCCATATCTTCCTAACGGATCGAATTTCTTTGAGTTTTTTTGTGTACTTGGTATTGTAAGGTTAGGCGCCTACCCTTTGCCCGCCGCACGACCGGTGTCTTCTTTTTTCCTCTTTTCATTGCATTGTTTTAAGTGAATGGTCTGCCTTTTGACCATGGCTTTGTATTACTTTTCCGTGTATAGATCTAATAGCAAAGCTCTAACCACTGATCGTTCAAACCTCTTGTCTGAAAACAAATTTAAATTTTTTGAATATTTGTTTACATGGTTATTCATCTGTCAAACCTCACCAACCAGATTTAAATTTTGGATGGGAACTGTGAGTCCCTCTTGTAGTGATAAATTTGCTCTCTTTGCTGGATTGTTAAAGTTTTAATTGCTATTTATCTAGGTTTTTAGACATTTGGTATTGACTTTGGTTTTTGGTTCAAACTTCTCCTCTTCATTAAATTACTTCTTTACAAGCTTTCGATTTGTTTTCTATGTTCTTTGTTTTGCCGTCTTTTTTCACGTGTAAATGAAATATTCTTGTTATAGGTTCTAGAAGAGGACAAAACATCACATTTTCTCTGCACAAAATGCTATGACCACCTGGCAGTCTTTGATAAATTTGTCAACAATTGTCTGCAAGTCCAGACAATGTTTTCTGTTCTGAGTGAGCTAGTAGATGAAGACATTGATGAACAACGGGTTCATGAAATACGAAGAGAATTCATCTCTCCTGATCTTGATGTAAGTTAAATGTTCAATTAGTGGTTGTATTAACAACTTTTATTGTAACTAACAATTTTTTCTGTTAGGTTTATCGTGAGAAGCCTTTGAATGGACCTACAAATCAGCTAACAAAGAGTTCCTCGTTAGAAGAAAGGAATCACTTGGGTGACAAAATCAAGGTTTCTGTCAAATTATGTTTTTGTTTCTGGACTTATACAGTAGCAGTTTCTTAAATGATTTGTGCCTTTTACATGTACAGGAAACTGGGAATTGCAAAAAAAAAATTTCCCCACCTAACAGTAAAACTTGTGAAGAAAGAATTGGACATTTAACAGAAAACAATAGTATTGGTATTCGTAAAAGCAGCCGTATAAAAGCAATGGCAGAGATTAAGCAAGCATTTACAGAAGATGAAATTTTGGGGGACACACTGGATTCTGATTTCAATGAGGATTCTTTTGAAAACCTGTTAGACAGTGATGATTCCTATCAACCTGATAATGGTATGCTGTGTGTTTGCATTTATATGCATTTATTATTTGAAATTAATATAATTCCTTACAGCTGGTAAATTTTTTGGCTTTCCTTTCAACAGATTTCAAAACTGACAACAAACTTTCCCAGAATTTGTTTAACAATTCTGACTCTAAACAAGCTCACTTATTGGAATCCAATAAGGTAGAGAGAGATGACAGGTTGTGTGAAAGCAAGAACTTGGTAAACACTTCTATGATAAAAATCCAAGATGATTTAAAATTGCAAGAAAACATTTCAAACAATGAAATTAACTCTTGTTTATTGCCAAGTGATATGAATTCATTGAGTGACACTGACTTAAGTGATTTTATTTGCGAAGATGACGATGATGAAGATCCCTTAGATAACATTGAGAATGGAAACAATAATGATAACAAAGGATATAGATTAAATGGATCCTGGAAAAATGAGACTAAATGCAAAACTGGAGAAACTGATAAACTGTCAACCCAGCAGCAGCATGAGAAGATTTATGAGCTAAGTGAGATGTTTGAAGATCCTGATGATCCAGAAAGTGACAACTGGAATAAGATTTCCAATGGAAAGGTTGAAGAGAAAAGGAACTCCAAATCAAAGGAGCCTTACAAGTAAGTAGACCTGTGTCATTCTGACATTATTTTTATTTTCTTCCAGTAGCACTAATGTCATTTTGTTTACAGGTGTGAACAGTGTAATAAATTTTTCCTTCGTAAAGCATTGCTTAATGCTCACATGACCTCACACGTGCCGAAAGACCAGCAGCCCTTTGTTTGCTGTAAATGTGCGAGGCGCTTTCATTGTGAGGCACTCTTGCGGAATCATGAACGAGTTCATCTACCCAATGAAGAGAAACTTGTTTATCCTTGTGACATCTGCAAGAAGAAGTCAGTTTTAAGTTTCATTCTTGGTCATTCAGTACAATGCATACCCTGTTGCTGAAGTAACTTGAACAACCTTTTCCCATTCAGGTTTAGCAGTAAATCAGCAGTGACTGCACACCTCAAGGCTATTCATTATGGAGAGAGGCCTTTCATATGTCATCTCTGTGGCCATAGCTTCTCATCTAAAGGTGTTCTTCAAGAACATCTCACAATACATAGTGATGAGGAACCATGGCATTGTACAAAATGCACCAAAAAGTATGTTTCAGTTATGTCAGAAATGCATCAGAAAAAGTTGAACAAAATCAAATTAACATTTCAATATTTCCAGATTCAAAACGAAGTATAGACTAAAAATTCACATGGACACCCACAGAGATACCCCTTACAGTTGTCCCCACTGCCCACTTCAGCTGTCCACTCGGCGTACACTTCGCATGCACCTTGTTGTTCATCGAGACACTAAAGCATATCAATGTGCAACATGTGGAAAGGCCTTCCGAAGGGCCAAGGACCTCAAGGTTTTTGACTAGTTAAAGTTTCAGTTATTGTTCTTATTATGTGCTCCTTGTTTCTCTTTCTCATCATGTGTGGATTTGTTTCAGAATCATAATAATTTACATACTGGGCGGCGGCCATACACGTGCCCATTTTGTTCTCGGACTTTTGCCAATGGTTCAAATTGCCGCTCTCATAAGAGACGCATGCACCCTGAAGAATTAAGGATGTATGAAGCAGCTCTGGCTGGAAATGGTCATGTTGAAATGATAACTAATTCAACTCCTCTAGAAACTGAAGCAACAACAACAGACCCATTAATTCCACATCAGGATATTGTAAGTTTTTCATCCTCTTCTTTGAGTTTTTTTGTTTTGTTTACCTGTATTAAAAATTACTTACTGTATCATGCTCAGGATGAGGAAGGAAATCAGTCAATGAAAGAAGATAGCCAAGATTCACTACTGACTGAAATGGCTCTGGATCTTCAGCAACCTCAAATGTTAACTGACAAATCAGGTCTGACAAGTGTTCACGAAAATCCAGTTGTGACTGCAGCTGATCTCACTTTGGCTCCACTAGTCACTTTGTCATCAACTCTCCCAAAATTAGAGCCAGATGATTCACGTCTTGTAATGAATCTTACAACCCAAATGCATGATGGTAAAACATTATTATCTAAAATTGAATCTCCTTCAAATAGAATTGATTTGTTGTTTATTTTGAATTATACTAGCATTTATCTTTTGTTTCAGCTCATGACTCAATGGAAGCAATGTCACCTCTCAATTTGAACATTATGTCACCTATGAATCTCAATATCAGCTCACCTCTAAACCTCAACATTAGTTCACCTTTAAACCTCAATATTAGCTCTGTGCTTCACTCCCCAACTGGAAGGAATCAACAGCAACATTCTGTGCAGTCTCAGCATCCCCAAAACCCAAGTCGATACCAACAAGTACATCATCATGTGCCGCAACAACAGCATACACATCTTACTTTACAACCAGCACAGCATCAAAATCTTCAACAGTTACAGCATCACCATCAGCAGATAAATCAGCAACCTCAGGTGCATCAACAGATGGTATGTTTACTACCTCATGTCTCCTTCCAATTTGAAGTCTGTCCTTTTCTAATGGCGGATGATGATTTTTTTTCAGCATCAACAGCAAGTGCCAAGATCAAGTTCTCTTCAACTGACCACCCTACAAACGCCTCTCAATCCACCTAGTACAGTCCATACACTCACATCACAAACACAGTTACCAGCTCACCTCAATAACACTGTTCACCATGTGCAACAAATACAAACATTTGTACCTCTCAATCAGCAAGGAACAATGTACAATCACCACAATGTTCAGGACTCTGTGTCATCTGCTGCTATTGTAGCTGCAGCTGCTGTGGCACATTCCATGACTTCATCCACAACTACTTTACCTCCTTTCTCTAGCAATCCATATGTCCAACAGCCCATGTCATATGGCCGAGGCGGCCATATGTAATTATGTCCTTGACTTGTGTAATTTTTAGGGGCATTATTACCATCCCCACTTTACCCTCTACAATTAAAACACCCACAGGTCCTTGTGATGTTTAATGTTGTTATTCTGTCCCTTTCTTAGATTTTCTTTGTACACAAAAGTAGAAAAGTCAAGAGGCTCAATTGAAGGTACATGTGTGTAGTGTACCTGAATACTCGAATAGGCAGTGGCGGATCCAGTGACGGCCTGAGGGGAGGACAAAGTAGCAGTTTTTGCCTACTAAGAGAGGCAAAGTGTTGCTCTTTGCCCACCTTTCAGGCTATCTGGGGGTGAAGGGAGGGGCAATTGTCCTTTTGCCCTCAGGATCTGCACTTGCTAATCGGGATGATTTGTCTTGTTAAAGAGCAATGTAAAAGATGTTCTCTGCTCCATTCAAAGATCTCACGCTTATTAAAGTAACATATTTTAACAAAGCTGAAGTGTGCCTTGCCCTTGCTGTGGCCCCGCCCACTCAGTATGCTGATAAGTTGTAAATAAAGGTTTTCCTGTCTTTTTGTAATGTACCTATTAGTAATAACTTTTTATAGTATGTTCATGATAGAATCAATGATGGTGAAACATAATTATCATTTTTAATCCCTTTACAGTTGTGTTACTTTTCTTCTGTATGTCATCAGAGTTAAAGTAAGCAATTTGATCAATTGTGCCAAGTATCTTTTCTGTAAAATTTGCCTTTTTATTTTATTTTCCTGGCAACGTTTTTTCAACAGGTAGTGTTTGAAACTGTTCCTTGACAAGGTTCTTCATACATTGTAAATACTGTGAATTATGTTCAGTATTTGAGTCTCAAGAAAATGCAGTTTTAGTTTTAGGTACTGCGAACTAGTTTTTGAGACAGATGCCTTGGTATCAATATAATGTTTGTTAACGTTTAAGTGAGGCCATAAGTCCCTTTGTATTCTTATATGAAGCAAGGGAGTGAAACTTGCATTGTGATATCTTATTCCTATTTTGGCCATTTATTAATGGAGTTGATGTATGTGCCTGTTGTATGGATAATTTTATCAAATAAAATGAATGAATCAATCTCCTGCCTTTTACGAGTAAACTTCCAGAAATTCAAGTTACAATTTTTGTAGCTTTTGTACTATGCATTAGTGTTAAGAGGTCGTAGAGTGAGACAAACAATCAAAACACCAGTTTCATAGCCTTCTCTGCTGAACAAAGCATTTAATTATAAGCAAACAAGGCTATGGAAGCCTTTGACTAGTGTTTCATTCCTGTCTGAGACGATCAAAACTCACCAACAGGACAAATCCTCACTAAAACTGTTCATTGTATTAAAAAGTTAAGAAATCACAAAAAAAAAGAAAAGACACCTTGAAACTCTTGGCAATGATACCCATGCATCCTCCAGAACATAAAAAAAACCCTTGGCTTAAAAATTAATATTTTGAAAGAAATGATAGCAACAGCCTATTACTGTAACTAATGCAAGTACAAATAAATGTTGAGAAGGTAGAGAGTGACATTGCTCAACAAGTTGGCAGTCTTAAGCAATAAAGATTCACATCCATAAGTACGAAGTAGTTTCCTCAATAAAAATTGCATATGTTCAGCACTGTTGAAAAAAAAAAAGGATTGCTATTCTGATTGTAAAAGGCTCAAAATAAAAAACAAAAACATAAAATCGCAGATAAATCACAACAAAAGTCTTACGTATAATTTTAAAATCCAGCTAATAGTTTGGTACAACTCTGCACAAACACCCTGAAATTATCGTTGTTATGGTAAGCATCTCTGCTGCAAAATAATTTCACATTTGCTTATGATACAAACTAAGTACATCGAGATAAAGACAGTCTTCAACTAGCATTACCAATTTAAATTGATTTATGTAAAAAAATTTACTACTTTTGAGTCAACTCAAATTATTCTTCAATGGGGAAAAATGACATTGATGTAATGAGAGTTACAGGTCTAGCAAAAATGAAAAAACCTCATTCTAGTTCAAAAAACTGTCATCCATTCCACACTTTTCCTAATGTGAAAGAAAGTTCACACAAGGAACTCAAATCAACCAAAAAGCAAGCTTACTGCCAAAATCGTCATCTCCATACCAACAAGAATTATAAAGGAATACATTTTACTAATTTGGTCCGGACATTGCTCTGTGGCACAACCAAAAGCTGACCCAAATAATAATTGAGTGCTAAAATACAGAATCTGTGAAGTGGACTTCTCCGCAAAAGAATGATGTCTACCCATAGCAAGAATTTAAACAAAAGAGGAAGAAACAAATACTTCAAGAGAGTAAGAAAAGGTGGAGGTGGGAACATTGTGAACAAAACCTAAATTTGTGCCCACAAACAAATGTTTCTTTAGGAAAGAAAATCCCAATAAATACAAATGAAAAAGAAAAGGTTGAAATTGATACACCACATGAAGCTACTGTTTGAATCTATTCTGCTATAAAAATAAAGTCTTTGGATGTGTATGTACAAATCTTTTATAACAACCTTAAGAATCGGATCTCCTAATTACAACTCATGATTTTTAAGAAATTAAAACAATTGGTGGACGAAACAGCACCAAAATGGTATTCATGTTTATTGATTAATGAAAGTAAAATCTCTATGCCACAAATTCCTCATGAAGTTAAGGAAGGCCATTTAATACAGTCAAACAAATCCTGGGTGCCACGATCTCCTTTTCCCCAAAGGTTCACACTACTCTAATCTAAAACTTATGCAGCCAACATCACCATTACATCGCAATGGTTTTATTTAAAAGATCCTTTGGTGAGAAAAAAGAACCATGATGTTATCACACATATTCACACTTACACACACATGTGCACAAATACCTACAATGAGAATGTAGAAACCATACTGTCAATGGTTTTCAAACTATGAAGGAGAGCAAGTACAAGACCTACTGTTCCAGCCATGAGGGAATTGATGAGTTTGGTGACTTGAGTTTTATGTTGAATTGCTTCAGCGTGGCTTCCAAGGCTTGTTGGTTGCCCGAAAAGTAAGCAGATACAGCATTGTGAAGAAGCAAAAGTTGCTTGTGCATAACTTTAATCTGTGGAAATAAGATACGAAACACATGTAGCAAAAATACATAAAATTCAAAGAGTGGTTTATGAGTTGCAATCCTCATACCCGATTTTCATCCAAAAATTTCAGCTTAATGGTGACATCAGAACGCAACTTCTCAAAGTTAACTTTGTGACTTTCAAAAAGCTGGGTTGCTTCATCCAGTCGAACAGCATTGGCTTCACTTCGAGATTGGGATAAAAGTTCCAAATCTGTGCGGTAGGCATCATACTCTATTCTGTTAAAGAAATAAAAATTTAATTGCTACCGATACCTTAATTATAAACTCTCTCAGAGTACATATTATAATATTTACCGAGCTGCTTCATATTGCCGCACAGTTAGGAGAGTGTCTTCAATGGTTTTATTACATAGAGTATTGACTGAGGACACAAAAAAATTTAAAGCTCCCAACAATGTTTCACCATTTTTAGTTAAACTTCGTTGAGTCTCAGCATTGTAAACAAACTCTTCTTGCAGTTCAGGTGATTTCTGAGCTAGTTCAGAAAATGCTTCACCAAGGGCGTGCTACAAAATAAACAAGTGGTGAAAACAACTTCACGGCCACATTTGCAAAGCATAAATCAGAGGCAAAATATATACCTGTGTTTGCACTACATGATAAAAATGGCTGGTAAGTGCTCGAGAAAGGCGGAGAACATTGGAATACTTTCTTTGAATGTCTCGCAACTGCTCAATTTGAGCTTCCAGTTCTGACATGACAATGACAAATACATAAAGGTCATTTAGTAAGTATATTAAAATTGCTACATTTTCCCATAAATTTTTTACTCTAAATGTACCTGTATCTACAGTTCGGGATGATTTTCCAAGCTTTTCAAACATTAACTGTTTAGTACATTTATATGTTGATATACTCCAATTCTTGATTGTTTCCATTTTAGATGCCTGTGATCTCGACAATGTAGGATCACCATTTTGAGATGGGCTGGTAGGAGTGGAACGACTTGACGGAGCTAAAGGAGTAATGATCGTAATGAAACAAAAGAAACAACAAAGAAAGTTGGTCTTCAGCTGAACATGTAAAGAAGTATACCATTGGTTGTCCCTAGGGCTAGAGACGTTGGGTGTGGGCGGGGTGTTGGTGCAGTAGCTGCAGAATGGACTGAACTGCTATTTTCAGACATATCTGTTGAGTCTTTAAGCATTTCCTGTAAGCTTCGAACAGCAACAGGACTGGTTGCAGGGCGATTGTTTACTGCTGAGTGCGCCATGTCAAAAGAGGTAAGGGGAACCTGCAATTTAAAAAAAGTATGGACTTAGATAGAAGAAAAATACGCTCTTTCGTTTCTCTTTTCCTTAAACTCAAAAAGTTACAAAAATATACGTTCAGAGGAATCACATTCCAACCTACATTTTCTGTAATCAATACAAAATTAGTTCAACCTCATTCATCAGTAGGGTTGATTTTCAAGTCCATCAACAAAACCCGAAATTAAAAACCACACATATGGAAGAAGAAAAATGTAAAAATGACGAAACAGAATTGAATGAATGACTGAAGTGTCAAGATGTCAAACTGACAAGCGGAGGTTAGGGGCGGCAGTGCATGGCCCATAAAAGCCACCGTACTGACACTAACACCGTCTCCGGAAAATGAAGTAAAGACGTGATTAATTTTAAATCGTGATCATTGATCAAGCAGCTGAAAAGGTTCGGTTATGCTACTTTGAAAGAAAGCTTCAGTGACTCGCATCTGCGGGTGTCCACAGAGAGGCCTTAAGGACGAAATATATTTGTGTCGCGTCACTACTGTACAAGTCACGTTCACCAAAACGAAATAACTTAACTTGACTATCTTACCAGGAAATTATTAGTTTCACAAAATGTTTAACATTGTTTCCAATGACGTCATCGGTCTGTCTGCTACGCCCGTACGAATTGCTGGAACTTAAGGGGTGGGTGGGGGCGGGATGTGCGGGTGGCGGAGGCATGGAGGGGGTGCTCTGTGGGGTGTGGTAGGGTTGGTAGGGAAGGGGTGAAGGTGGAAGCCGCAAATCCAATGATTTGATTTGCATTTTATTTCATCAAAAATATATATTATCATCAACAGTTTGATAGCGCAATTAAACATGATTCACTTTTACGGACACAATAGCAAATAATAACAATATAAAATTTAACATATAAAAAAAAATGTAATGTTTGATAATTTACTGGCTGAAAAAAAAATTGCACTATAAATTGCATTTATTTGTTCAATTTCATAGAGGCTATGAATCCAAATTCTCTGATAGTGACTCAATGAAAGTGTTCCCATTTATTAACTTTGTAGTTCCAATGACAAATTCAACATTAGCTGTAGACACAAGAGAGATACAAAAATATTAATCATAGCCAGTGAGACATCAGTATTTAGCAAAGAACGTCACAAAAAATATAGGGGAGAACCATACCATCAGAATCTTCTTGTTGTGAAAGGAAGCGTAGAGCAGAGATTTCTGCAAAAGTGCATCCTCCAATGAAAAACACTAAAACCACCTTGGGACTGTCGCTTGATGACTGTAGTGATAATGACGTTCCTGTAAGGATATTTAGTTTTAGAGAGACCCTAAATGTTCACACATCGGCCCATTCCTGAAATATAATTTCTTATTAAAGGTACCAGAAACAGATGGCTGGATGTCATCAAATGCGGGTCCTGGTAACAGGCCCAAGACATCTTGCAATGCTCTCGGTCCATTGGGTCGTACAAGATGTTGAACTAGACGGATGCTAAGAGGGGCATACACACTATGGACATAGCTTATGTCAGTGGGAGTCACCTCGCTGTTGTCAACAACAGTTAGGCGTAAAGCCTTTCTTAGCACTGTGTACTGCCGTTGGTTTTGCTGGAAATAAATCTTTAGTTAGATTTTGCTGTAGATGATTAAACAAATTAATCTAAATACAACTCAGACTGACCTGTACACGTAAAAGTCCAGCCTGTTCCAAATTACAAAGTGTTAGGGCATGTTGAAAACCGTAAGTCTGAAGAATTTCCCTTTTGTAATACTCCAAAACTTTTGGGCGTAACCCGCTGTTTGTTAGAGCTTGCATGCAGACCAGCCTCAGGACCTATATTTACAATATTAAATGTATTAAACAGCTCAGGCTAGGTACATTACAGAATTCAAGCAAACATTAGTTTACCTTAGTGAATGGTTCTTTGCGGGCTATGCAATCTTCTATAAATGGATGAGCTTTGTCAGTGTCAATGACATTCATAAGCTCCTGCTCTGTTTCCAAAGCCTCTAAAAATTGATTAGAGTCCGTCCCCTTTTGGACAAGTTCAGCAATTGTTGTATCTGAATGAAAATTTGAGATATAGCCAAGGTAAAGGAAATAATGACAACAATTGTGCAACAGTCACTTACGGTTAGCGAGGGATTGTTTGTTGGCCATCATATATGGCAGTCTTGATACAAACAACTTCATTTCCTGAACAGTTTTATCACCATGTCTTTCTCCAAATTGCATTGAGATTTGGTTTGCTTTCTTTCTCAAGGCTAAGCCGACAGCATTAAAATTTTTATCTCTGGAAAAATTAAAAACTTGCTAACTCCACAGATAACAGCACCAGATTAGAACACTGAGTTGAAACTACAGATACCGACCTTATTTCAGCAAAAAGCTCTTCTCCAGAGTTTAAAATAATATCTTTGGTATCTGCACTGGTATAAGAAGGTGAAGCTTCATTTGATGAGACAAAATGCTCTGCTGGTAATCTCAAGGTAGCTGCAGGAAAAATGTGGTTTGATTAGTGGACACTAAGCACAACTTACTTCCACATGTTAGATTTTCTTTTGTAGGAAAACTTACTATTTCGTATACCAAATAGCTCATCAATTAGCCCCTCATATGTCAGTTGAGTAGCAAGAGGTGTGAGCAAGTCAACACATCGATCCAGCAAAATCAATTGATCTATTTGTGATGGGGGAATGCTGGAATATTTTGAAAAACATTTAATAAGTCAAAGTGTCCACAGACAAGAGAACTGAAGTAAAAAAGAAGCTGAAACATTACTTAGCATCATTCTGCTCCTGAGCAAGTCGTTTCATAAATTCCGAAACTTTTAGTGACGCAGGGCCGATTCCTGTCACTCTTGGAATTACACCAAACAGTGATTGAAGCATAAGCAAGCCTTGGGCAGTCTGATGTAAAGAAGTTGGGTCATTTTCTAGATGAAATTCCTAGATGATAACAATAAAAAAGAAACATCTAGTGGATTGGTATATAAAAGTGGTGAAATATAACAATTTGACTGTTTCCAAACAGTGTGCTGCCTAATCTAAGATTTACCTTAAAAGTTGAGCCAATCTCCATAGACATCAGATCATTGTCGAAAGGAAAGAGATGCAGTGGCAGTTCTTGAATATTGTTCCGAAAGCTCCCCAGCACACCTCGATCCTGCAATAGAATATTTGAATGGATGAATGAATGAATGAATGAATGAATGAATCAACAAATCAATATAACCACAAAACAATCAAACACTAAAACATCACAAAACATTGATTTCACCTCAAGCCTCTTTTCGCACAAAAATGTTATCCTTGGAATGAAGAATAAGTGGAAATCCGTCAGAGAACCACGTTTCACTTCACTGAAAGTAAAATGAAATAGCACTTTCAGAAGATGTTAACATTGTTAATTGACATCTTTTGGATGAAACTCACTTGCGAACATTTTCTGCCACAAGATCTATGAGGGAGAGTTGAGGGCGGATAATAAATATGAGATGATTTGCATGGCTTTGGGGGAGCGTTCCACTATGCAGATGAAATATGCTCTTCGTGTTGTGCTCTTTGAACATTGCCTTGGGGGCAATAAGGGCCATAACAGACCCCAGTGCCGCATCAAAAACAATATTCTTAAGATGAGAAAACAACAATGAATTAGTAAAAAGTTAAAATCAAAATAAACATCAACCTGACAGGTGTGGTTACAAAATGATTTTGAATACACATTCAATTAGGCTAATCGTCACCTTAGTGCCATCGATATTGTCTAGAAGGGCAAAGATGTGTTTCCTAGCATGTTCTTGAACTCGAGAAATATTCACTTTTCCTCCAGACAAATGGGAGGATGACATTTCTGTAAAGCGATATAAACTTCTCCCACTTCTCTCACCCTCCCTTCCTCCCCACCTTCCCCTCTACCCTGCACATATCGACATACAGAACACATATTGCAATTCGTTGACTGCGGATAACGTGGTGAACTGCAATCGCGAGGCTGTCACTAACATGTCATTTTCTGCTGGCCAGCCCAAACAGACGTCGTGGCCCAATCCATTTCCATGCCGTTTCATTACAGACTGTCGTTGATTTGTCATTATTCGTCATTTTAACTGTGGCGACTGTTGACATTTAATCGAAAAAAATCATCTCTGAGGTGTGTTAGTGAGAAATTGAAACAAAGTCCCCGAATGAACAGCTACAACAAATGGTAATGCAAGTTTAACCTGAAAATATTGTAAGGTTTATATGGTTTCTGTTTTAAATAACCCACTGCACTGTGTTTACATGTTGTGGATTGGAACTTTAACTCGATCCTCAGGTTTTAGTGACTCCACATTAGAATGACTTAGTCTATTGTTATAACATTAGTTATCGTTGTGTGGTTCAGGATGTTATTTTCTCCATTCCTACTTTGTTTGTAGCAATGAATCGCTCCGCACGCAGACGCCCAGAACCCTCAAGAACAGGTCCTCTATCAAATGGAGATGTTGAAGATCAACCTCGAAACATGGGTGGAAACGCACCAGAGGCACCAAGTGACATTCGTGGGGATCGCCGCAACATTGCTGTTCTATTTCTACTGTATCTCCTGCAAGGCATTCCTATGGGATTAGCAGCTGCAATTCCAATGCTGATGCAGAGCCATGGAGTGAGCTATAAACAGCAGGTCTGACCACAAATTTGTTTAGAAGTAACAATTTTACCTTTGGAAACATTTTTGTGCATTTGAATTTGACCCTTCATCCTCTTATTTTCAGGCGGAGTTCAGCTTAGTGAACTGGCCATTCAGTTTGAAATTGTTATGGGCACCAATTGTAGATTCCGTTTATTCAAACCGCTTTGGTAGACGAAAATCGTGGCTCATTCCTGCCCAGTTACTTATAGGGTTTTTCATGATATTTTTAGGAGCAAATGTGGATTCTTGGCTCGGTGATGTAAGTGACACTGTTCATATTTACATTTGACCGTTTTCAATTGTCTCATCTTTTTAAATTATTATTTTTGTTTTCTAGGGAGCTAATGCTGATCCATCCATAAAAGAACCTGAACCTTGTGTCGGCTTACTCACAGTCATGTTCTTCATTCTAACTTTTCTTGCCGCCACACAGGATATAGCTGTGGATGGTTGGGCTCTTACTATGCTTAAGAGGCAAGTGGTCATGAGAATGCTCTGTCAATTTGAATATGTCAACTGTTTCTGATTTTTGGAAATGTACCCTTTGTTTCAGACGGAATGTTAGTTATGCATCAACATGCAATAGTGTTGGTCAGTCAGCTGGCTACTTCTTTGGGTATGTGGTTTTCATGGCCCTTCACTCCCCGGACTTATCAAACAAGTACCTTCGCTCAGAACCTTTACCTACAGGTCTTGTTACAATATCCAGTAAGTCATCTTGCATGTCATTGTCAATTGTTATGTCATTAGATTGTTTTGTTAAACTCTAATTTTTTGTAAACTTTTTTCAGGTTTTCTGCATATTTGGGGATGGATTTTCCTAACAACAACAATTTTAGTAGCTATTTTCAAGAAAGAACAGGATGTTCAAGATCCTGAACATGAACCAGAACCTAATCTTGGCTTATATCGAGCATATGGCTTGCTTTGGGACATAAGTAAATTACCATCAATTAGGGTGCTTGCATTCATCCTTTTAACAGCTAAGGTAGGGGTGTTGTTTTCTCCTATTTTGAATCAAGCTGAGGAATGCTATGGCTTTTAATATAAATGAACAAGTACTGACTAGTGTGGATTCTTGTTACTAGATTGGATTCAGTGCCTGTGACGCTGTGACTGGTTTGAAACTTGTTGATGCTGGTGTTCCAAAGGAACATCTTGCATTTTTAGCTGTTTTACTTGTTCCATTGCAAATCATGCTTCCTATTGCTATATGCAAGTACACGGCGGGGACACGCCCACTAGACGTTTATTTGAAAGCAGTGCCTTACAGGTATGTCATCTATTTTCTCGTCATCTCATCTCATCTTTTCTCTATATAATAAGTAAATGTTTGAAATCATGAACTTGTTTCAGGTTATTCTTTAATCTGGTTGCTGCTGCTATAGTTTATTTAACTCCAAGTGTTATAACTAATGGAGAAGTACCTATGTATTACTATGTTGGATTACTTTTATTCTACACATTCCATCAAGTAAGTTTATTTCCTGCACAATGACTCTAAAGTGGTATTCATTGGCCTACTTAAACACTTACTGTATTTTCAGATCACTCTTTATATGATGTTTGTTGCTGTCATGGCCTTCTTTGTGAGGATAAGTGACCCCGCTGTAGGCGGAACGTACATGACACTTCTGAACACACTAGCAAATTTGGGAACAACATGGCCATCAACATTATCTCTCTACATTGTTGACTCATTGACTTATCGGGGCTGCTCCGCTCCTCTTTTGCATGGAGAGAATGATTGTTCCTCTCCTAGTGAAATCAAAGTAAGTGTGAATCATAAACATGGCAAAATAATAGGAATGGAAGTTCGTTTGTTTATCTATGTATGTTACTTTCCAGGCTTGTGAAGCTGCTGGTGGCCTGTGTTCCGTCCAAGTAGATGGCTATTATGTGGAAATGGCCTTGTGCACAGTATTGGGTATCATGTGGCTTTGGTGGGCCAAACCAAGAATCAACTCACTCCAATCCAAAGAAGTGCGGGAATGGAAGGTTCAAAGACGTCGAGTTCGATAGCAATTAGTTTAGATCACTCCCTTGTATTTATTGCTCCCTCTCTCTCTTTGAAATTTATGACCACAATCAAGACTTGCTAGGGTGGTTAAATTTTATATTCAAACTTAGATGTATTGTATTCTTGACCTGAGTTTCACTGTGATAAGTTTAATTCTGAAAACCTTCCATGTAAAATTGTCATCATTGCACAAGTTTACCAATACTGCCTTTTTTGTCATTATCTTCTAATTCTTGAAGGATAAGACACCAATCACATTAGCTAATAATAGTATTCTGTGAAACAGACTTATAATTAGTGGGGAGAACTCATCTCATCTCTCATGTGTGACTTTTTGTGTGAAACACATATAGTTGGTGTGCGTAGGAAAAAAACTTGTGTGGTGTTCCATCTTATTTATGACTTTAAAAAGACATTTCTCTTCTAGATTCTAATGTTTTTGGTCTTCGACAATTTTTGTGTGGTAGATTAGATGCATGGCATTTGATGAAATTTACATACCATATGAGAAAATAGTATTTTGACTGGACATTTACACAGTCCTAATATCAAAAATCATTTTTTGTTGTTTGTGTGTTAACTTTGGTCCGGGCCGTTTCATATAGAAACAACTAAGACTAACTGAGTAAACTGTTTTTACTTGCTAGCTACTTACTTGATTTCTGTAACATAGGTATTATGTTTATTGTTCTGTGATAACTGCTGCTTGTTTGAAATTTGTAGAAAGATGTTGGTGTACCATTAGTAGATGATCTGTTGGTAGCTTTGTTGAAATTTGGGAAATAAATACATGATATTTCAGTAAATCATTGGTGTTTCTTTCAAAATCATCCACAAACCTTTTAATGAATCCTGGAGATTTTTAATCACTTCAATTTCTAGTTCGTTTATGTGAGGGGAAACAGTCACATGCTTGGAAGTAAACAACGTTGTTGTACTTTTTATAAAATGTAGATTTATTTGTGTTCTTTAACAAATAGTAGTATTCTCAATGGTTCACACAGAAAAAGGGATACAAAGAAACGAAACAAACTTCAACAACATTCAAAATTTTGCGATTGTTGTATTGACCCGGCCGGACGCAAGACGCAAGCATTCAGAAAGGGGGAAAGTCGAAGGAAGAGGAAACGATGAAGCAGGGCAGATGCCAGGATGAGGAGAAACAAATGAGAGCAGAGCCGGTCAAGAAATTTGTGAGCCCGACGGAGAGTGGCCTGGGGCGCGGCAGAGCGGCAAGCGCCTGTCAAGTCGAGGGTAGGCAGTCACGCACAACACGCATGTGGAGCGGGCTAGCCTATCCTCAACCTCGCAGGCGCTACACCTAAAACGCTGCGGGAAAAGAAACGAAAGATGAGAGGAAATGAGGAAGAACGAGTTAAAGAAAGTCAAGAGGAGCATAAGTAAAGAAGATGAAGTAGAAGGAGATGTAAAAGAGGAAACAGAAAGAGCGGAGCGAAACAACAGGGAGAGATGAAGGACAGGAAAAAAAAAGTTTTGAAGCGATGGCAAATGAGATGGGCTGATTCGTGAGAGAAGATGACTGAAAAAAGATGGAAAATCGAATTTCAGTTCAATGGCGACATGAAATGAGTCAACATGACAGAAAAGGATAGCATGACAAAAGGAGAAACGTGAAGGCGCCAATGCATTTCCACGACCGACCGGGTCAAACAGCATCGCAAACTCACTAACACGTGACAGAAGAGGAAAGAGCGCAAAGAGAAGAAGATTGACACATTCACGGCTCGACATTGTATTAACAATATGACGCCTTTTCGTCACGATTTGTGAAATAGTCTCCGTCAAGAGTGTGCACATGCGTCACCATGACCTTGCATTTCATGACGACTGTGTTTTCCTTGGGTGGAAACGGGAGAAGAAAAATGACAAGGAAGTGGTGAGTTGGAATTCATTTCAAGTTAACTTCGTTTTGTAGACTAGATAGCACAAGTACGTCTGGAACATCCTCGACGTTCCAGAATTGAAGAATAAGCCAAACGAAAAGGAAGAAGGAGAGAGAAAGTGGAGCAGTCTTTAAAGGGTTACAAAGTAGTAAAATTATCACAGGAAGCGCAACCCTAAATATTCAAGTCGTACAAAGAGTGCGAAGGTGTTTGTACAAGAGATACGAAATCAAATCACAGACAATGAGCGGCTCAGTTAGTTTCAACGTCCGGGAAGGCAGCATGAACCCCATCGCTGAATAGGGGGTGGGAGGAGCTTTTGGCTTTAGTGCCTACTTGGAGTATGGTCCACTCAAAGGTGCAAGTGTACGTTCAACGTACAACCCCACCCCCTTTCCTCATCGCAGCATGGGAGACGCGTCGATAACGTGTTGGAGCACCCCCCACCCTCAGAGAGATTCCGCGAAGATCGTCAAGGAAATAAAAAAGTGAAGCTCCAGTATTGTCCAAAGTGTATGGACTTGGAAAAGTAAAGGAAGAAGAAGAATGAAGGAAAATAGCTTGGCAGAACAGGAAGTTGACATGGAAAGCGAAAGTAAGAGGAAAATCGACAAAGAGAGCAAGAGAGACTGACAGAGAAAGAGAGGAAAAAAAGAGCATAGAGGAAATCCAAAACAAGAAAAATATTTTTTCTGTAGAATAAAATATAATAGAAGATAAAGAGTAAGAGAAAGAGGCAAAGTGAAAGAAATGGTAGGGAAGTTGAGCAAGATGGAGAGGAAAACAAAAATGGTTCATCCATTTTCTGAAAAATAAGAGAAATATAAGAAATGATTGACGAGAACAGAAGAAAAACAGATAATGCCAGAGAAAGATAGAAAAGAGACAGAAGGACATAAAGGATCAAAGTAGGACAGTAAAGGACAAGAAAGGCAGAAAAGGGCCAGGATAGTAATAGACAGGTAGACACAGGGTCGAAGTAGGACAGTAAAGGACAAGGACAGAAAGGGTCAAAGTAGGATAGTAATGAACAAAGCAGGCAGTGAGAAGGTCAAAGTAGAACAGTAAATGAAAAGGAAACTCAAAGTAAAAAAGGAAGGCAGAGAGTGCCAAAATAGGACAGTAAAGGACAGGGGTGCCGCGGGCCGAATTGACCTGGCTAGATGGCCCAATGCGTGCGTGCGTACGACAGAGAGGTCTGACCCCTGCGGCCCGCGCGTCGTCTACTCTTTGAGACCCCTGCTAAGAGACAAGGAAGGCAGAAAAAAGAATAAGAGTGAACGAGGACGAAAATCATGAACACAAAAGTGATGAAGACTCTTAAAAGAAAAGGAACAGTAATATTGAAGAAATTAGAATAAAGAGAGTGAGAGCAAGAGCACGAATGAAATGCGAGAAAGAAGTTCTACATTAGAACAGAAAACGGAAAAGTACAGGTGCACAGACGACAGAAAAAGGGACTTTGAGGCAGGAAAGGCAAGATGAGGAAAAGATCGTACAAGTCAAGAAAACAAACAGTAGAACAGAAGAAAGTTTTATTGGAATACTTAGGTAGAGATCATAGTATATAAAAGAAAGATGTAAGGAAGGCAGCATCGAAAGAAGCTGGGAAAATAGAAGTGAAAGGGACAGAGAAGGAAAGAGAGGAAAACAAAACAAGCAAGGCGGAAGTGACAGAAACAAGGAAGGTAGAAGTGAAAGAAACAAGAAAGGTAGAAAAGAAACAAACAAACAAGAAAGGTAGAAAAGAAACAAACAAACAAGAAAGGTAGAAAAGAAACAAACAAACAAGGAAGGAAGGAAGGTGGAAGTGAAAGAAATAAGAAGGGCGAAAGTGAAAGAAAGAAGAAAAAAAATAAAATTGAAAGAAACGAGGATGGTAGAAAAAGAAAGATACAAGGAAGGTTTAAGTGAAAGAAGCGTCAGGAAAGAAAATATGGCAACACATGAGAAAAAGAGGAAACTTAACAGAATACTGAGAGGTGAAACAAGGACATATAAGTAAATCTATCAATCGGAAGGAGATTGAAATACCCAAGGTACGGATCACATACAGTATAAAGAGAAGAGAAAGACTAACTGGATGAAAAAGAAAGATAGGCGAAATAAATTTTGAAGAATGAAAGGAAGGCACAAACAGGAAGAAAGACGGAAAGGAAGACAGAACTTAAATGAAGATAGAGAAGAATACCGAAAAGAAATAAGAACTAAAATAAAGAAATGAAGAAAGAAACTAGGAGAAGAACAGTCATGAAAGAGTGTGTCCTGCGGGCAATGGACACAATGAAGACCGTGGGGTGCTCCTCATCCAGCCTTCCCGGAGACAGGCATACTATGTGCACGGTAACTAACAGAAAAAGAGTAAGTAGGATAAAATATGGTGGGAAAGTTCAGTTCATTTGTTTTCCTTCAATGTCAACTCTGAGTCGAACCCCAATAAGCTTCAGCTGCTACTGTCAGGTATGAGACGTTCGTTTCCAGCAGGCGTTGTTTTATCTTGTACCGTCGCGGAGGACCTACTGCTTCTTGGCGATGCGGAAGCCGGAGAAGGTGAGCGCCGGCGTGGCGCTGGCGTCGGCGTGCTGGCTGCCGCCCTCGAGGAACACGGCCACCGCCTCGCCCAGCTCCATGTCCAGGATGACGACGTGCTGCGGCCCCGCCACGATCGGCGTCCACGCCGAGCCGCCCGCCTGCTTCTTCTTGAGCACCAGCCTGCGCAGAGAGCGGCACGTCAGGACAACGAGGACGACGGCGGGATAGATAGAGAAGGAAAGGCACTGACTTGGCGGCGGCGTCGCCGGCGAAGGCGAACTGGTAGGTGCCGGGGCAGTAGCAGACGAACTCGCCGTCCGCGGGCTTCCAGCCGACGCCCTTGTCCAGCAGGGTGGTGCGCAGGGCGAGGGGCGCGTCCTTGGCCGCGCCGCCCTTGAGCCCCGCGCCGGAGAAGGCCACCGCGCCGGTGCACTGGCTGGCCGTGGCCAGCTTCTTGGCGCCCAGCGTGGTGGAGGCCGTGCCGTCCGCGGCCGGCGCAGGCTTGCGGGCTGCGTCGGGGACGGCGGCCAGGGCCAGGCCGAGCAGCAGCAGCAGCCTGAGCAGAAACACGGCGCGCTTGTAGAGCCGGAGATGCGATAGAAAAACAAATGAATTCTTATTCTGTCCCGGTGGCCAGGGGGGCCGCCTCCCCCGCGCCAGTTTAACTTTCTCGCGACGCAAAAACACGATGTGCCGCGCCGTGCCGCGCCGAGCCGGCCTGCTTGCTCTGTCCGCTAATGAGAACGTTTGCCAGGCGGGCGTGGGCGGGGCGTGGGCGGGGCGGGGCGGGGCGGGGCGGGGCGGGGCGGGGCGCCAGCGGTGGGGCGAGACCCAGCTCATAGCCAGCCTGGCGCTGGCGGCCAGAACAATAGAGCACCCGCTCAGGCCACGGGGGTTTCCGAGTATAAACCGAACAGCCTTTTGGAGTCGTGACAGACTTTACCGCAGACAATGCTGCACTTATATAGCACACGGCGGTGCAGGTCAGAGTGCAGCCTGCCTGCCAGAGCGCGGTGCGGCCCCTTGCCTGCAGCCTGCACCAGCGCCTGCAGCAGTGCCCGACCGCGGCCTGCTGGTGGAAAGTAATATAAATTGCGCTGTCTTTACGTTGGTTCGTTTGGCGGCCGCGGCACGGCACGGAGCGGCGCGGTGTCAGTGCACGGCGCTCGGCGTCCGTTATTGGAGCGCTGTGAAAGCCCTCCGCCAAGCCAGCCAAGCCCTCCGCAGCGCCGGTTGGCCGACCGGCGGGGCGTGAAAGCCTTGGGCCTTCCAGAGCCTCGTCGCTGGCGGGCTGGCGGCGCTTCGGAAGGCTGGTCGGCGCGAGCGCCGTGTTGAGGCGGGATACTCGGCCGCCACATGCGCGTGCGTGCGGGTTGCCTACCGCGCGCCACGGCAGGCGCTCCCCGCCCCCAGTGCCCCCAGCCTCCGCAGCGCCGAGCCGAAGGACGGCGTGGCGACACCGACGCGAGGACGGGACGCGACGCCGCGACGGGCAGGCAGCGTGTTTCCTGTTTCACTGTTTTGCTGCTTCGCTACGGGCAGGCAGCACGCCGTCGGCACGCCGCGCATCACCAGCTCGTGGGCGGACCGTCCCAGAGTCCCGGACACGACCGACGGCCCCACTTCCGGCGCCTCGCGTGGCGGCGTGGCGCGGCGGCGCCGTGTTTCGGCGGCCGAAGCGCTGGGCCGGGCCAGGCTGATTCCGAGAGCCGTGCACGTCGCTGTCTCTCGCGCACCTACCTACACGGGACGCCCCATGAGTGCTCAGAGAGACGGAGCGACGTAAACGACTCTCGGAATCAGCCCGCTGGTTCTGGGTGGGACTCGGTGAGGCGCCGCGTGGGGCCGTTTGGCCGTTTGGCCGTTTTAATTCGGCCATTCGTATTCGTGGCCCCGGGCGGGCCGGGCCGCGCTGGGGCGGCGCACGTCCGGTCTCGAATCGAGTCAATGTCGCGCTTTGGGCGGACTGACGATCAGGCGGACGGGACGGACAGGCGGACGGGGTGACGGCATGCGACGGACGGACGGACGGACAGCGACAGCTGGCGCGTCATGCTCGGCGGCCCCGCGGCCCTAGAGCCCTCTAGGGCGGTGCGACAACAGGGCGAGGCGCGACCCATTTCGCGGAGGTCACACACGACCTGACCCGCACCGCCTTGTGGCAGCATGGCAGCACGGCAGCACGGCAGCATGGCAGCGGCGGGCGGCGCAGGGAAATGCGCGCCGGCAGGCGTGCTTCGTCGCGCTGTCTCTCTCGCACCCATGGGGCTGGACACCCGGAGTGCGAGAGAGAAAGAGCGACGAAGGCGCAGTCCGGAACCGGCCTGCAGACCGCCACTTTTGAGCCGTTTCTCCGGCGTCCGCGCGTCCGCCACACGAATATTCATTCCGCTGCACTGCAATCTGCGCGCGCAATGAGCGGGAAACCAGTCGGTGGAGGAGGTGGCGGGGCGGGGCGCGGCGCGGTGTAATTCGGAGTCCTTTCACTCGGGGCGGGGCGGGGCGGCCCTTTCCGCGTCACCAGCAGCGAGCAGGGCGTTACGACCGCGTCCCCCTGGATGCACTGCACGTTCGCGGACGCAGACACGCAGACAAGCAGACCCACGCGTCGCGCCGCGTCCAGACACGTCGCCCCGCCGCCCCGCCACCCGATCGGACGCGGATTACATGTCATTAGCGCATTTGCATACGGGCGGACAGCAGCGGCGATGACGAAAAGAACACAAGGGGCCGAATGGAGCGGAACGGAGGAAAGAGGCCACTTCCCTCCCTCTCTAGCGGTGCCGCTAGTCCGCGCAGTCCGCGCCCCGGTTGCGTGATCGCATGCAGGTTTCCGAATCGGTCTCGCCACCTCCACGAAGTACGCATCGTCGCCTCTGAATCGGGTGCCGCGCTTGCTGCTTGCCACCGCCGCTCGCGTTCGACCGGTTCAACCTTTCGCTATGAGGCCGAGAAAAGTGTTCTGCGCGCGTAAATCCGTCACGCCGTACTCTGGCTAGTAAGCTAGTAAGCGAGTACGCCGGCCGGGCCAGATGCATTACCGCGAAGGTGAACCTGGTCGTTTGTCTCGCGGTGTCTGCGCGCGCTTGTCTAGGCTTGTCTGGGCTGGTCTAGGCCGCTCTAGGCCGCTCTAGGCCACCCCTGGCGAGACGTATGACGGCGGCGCGCCCTCGGATCAAATCGCGTTAGCGCCGCGGATCAAATCGCGTACGCGCCTCGGATGACGTCGGCCTCGGCCTCGCCGCGGAGCCCCTGGGGCGCGGGCAAGGTTGGGCTTGCGCCGCGGTGCACAACGAGGAGGGCGGGTCGCCTACTCAGCAGGGGCCCCGGGCCTTTAGCAGTTAGTCCGGCCGGCTGCGCGGTGTGAACAGTGTGTGCTGTGTACACGGGGTTTCCCCCGAGGCCGCGAGCAAGCCACTGACTGCACAGTGCCCACAGTGGGCCCCCTCTCTGGCCGAAACCGCGCTTGGAAATCCGAGCCGCGAGCCGCGCGCAGCCTCCGCGCAGTGGTGCAGCGAGTGCAGCAAGTGGAGCAGGCCGTGGCCGACCACTGGGCACCACCGGGCAGCGCGTTGCGTCACGCCGAGGCACCCCGTGGCAGGAAATGCACGCAAGACGGCGGGGGTCTTGTTGCCTTTCACAGTGCAGGCCGCGGGACGCTGCAGCTCGCCACAGGCCTCAGTGCAGTGCTAGCCCGGACAATTATGATCCGGACCTCGCAACCCTCGCACCCACGCGGCACGCCTCATGAGTGCGAGCGAGACAGAGAGACACGGCGCGGCACCGCGGGCGGCCCGGCGGTGCGATTTGACACGTGCGCAGCGGTGCGGAAGTGGCCGTTGCGCAATGACAAGTGCGACTCTGCGTTCGCGAACTACGTAGCGAAATACACGAAATTCGCGACTACCTGCCATCCCCTGATAGCGGGTCGTAATTGAGACCCTAACCTCTTTCGGCCTTCCCTCGATGCTCGCTACAAGAGGCTCCCTAGCACGCACGATGCGTAACTGCGGACTTTGGCTGCTCTGAGGTCCGATCTAACGCGACATGCGTTGACAATAGGACAGTGACAAGTCGGTACTCACGTGGTGGAGGTGGCGGCGTGCATCTTGTTGGCAGTCGGCAGGGTCGGCCGGAGGGAAGACGAGACGAAAATAAGGAAGGAGTCTCAGACGAGAAGTCTCACAGAGAAGGCAGAGCCACACAGACACAAACACAATCACAGCACAGTCCAGAGAGGCTTGGAAGAGGGCGTCGAAGAGGGTGTCGAGGTGCGAGTCGGGTTGGAAGAGAGCGACTGACAGAACGGACAGAGAGCGTTTGGCAGAGCGGCCCAGAAGAGCGCGGGCTAGAGCGCGGGCTAGAGCGAGAGCGCAGCAGTAGAATGTGTCCCGGCGACCGGCCGCCCGGTACTGGATGGTACTGGACTACGGGAGCGGCGTGGAGCTCGTGGAGCAGGGCCGGCTGGGGCTGGCCAAGGCTGGCTGAAGTGCGCGGGCCGGCGCGGCGGTCGGCTCCCCGGAGCACGGCCCGTCCAGTCCAGCCAGTCCAGCCAGTCCAGCCAGTCCAGCCCTGGCCAGGACGAGGCCCCACGGCCGACTGCCACGACTCCTCGGCCCAGGCCAGGCCGCAGGGACCCGGCCCCACCACACCTCCGCGACGAGCCCCACCACCGCGCCGCCGCCACCCGCGCCACCCTGCGTGCACTTTCCTTTCCCCGCGACGGAGTGGACGGAGTGGACGGAGCCACCGCCCCGCCAACGCCGCCGACGCCAACGCGAGTTCGATTCCGTGATTAAAGGCGTGTGTTGTCTTAGGCCGGCCGTCGAGGACAGCTCGGCGAGGAAGCGGGAAACGTGGAGCTCTGTCTCCATAGCGCTCACGAGTCGTCCCACAAGGGTGCGAGTGAGATACAGTGACGTGGCGGGGCTGCGGGTGGCACTCGTTGACGCTTTGCCTGCCTTGTTGTCGGGCCGCCACACCGCCACGCGTCTCCTGTCGGCCCGTCCCTGATTGGGCGACGAGGGAGAGGGGGGGGGGCAGAGAAAGGGCGCCGGCGAGAAACCGCCTCGAGAAATCACGCGTCACGGACGGCGGACACCTGCTGATTGATTATTTGGAGACGTCGCCTCACGCCGCCCCGCCCCGCCCCGCCCCGCGCCCCGCGCCCGGTGTGACTGGCTGCATTGCGTGCACAGCACGCCGCGCACCGAGCATGGGCGCACTGCCCCGCCGCCCACGCCACACTCCACACAACAAAGTAGCTAAAGGATTCTGAAAGTAACTTGTCGCGAGAACCGTTTTGGTTGAAGGTCGTCAGGAGCTCGGGAAATGTTGCCAATACGTGGACATTGGCATGAATAAAAGCGGCTGTTTCAGATTTGCCCAGCCCAGCCAGTCCATTTAAATTCCAAATGACTCTCGAAATTCTATAACGGGGTGCAATGACAGCAGTCAGGAGTCTCTGAAAAGCCCTCGACATACGTTTGGCAGTGGCCAGGGCGGGCACGCTGTCATCGGCCTGCCTCTGCGGTTGCCTTTGTCATCGCGCAGTGCGTCGCGTGCCGGCGGTGACGGCGTGACGGCCCAGTGCAACGCCGCGGCTAGGCGGCCGCGAGGCACGCCGATGCACCGCGATGCACCGCGATGCACCGCCCGGCCGGCCCGGCCGGCCCTTTCACTCGGCAGCTGCACGCGTTTTCGCGTTTTTGTTTGCCGACGGGGACCGAAAACGCGCTGGTTGTTGTTTGTCCGCGTCACACGGGCTGATGAACTCGCAGGGGGAGGGGGCCCCGAGGCCCCGAGGGGGGCGTGGCAAAGCGTTAGTCAGGCGAGGCGCGTCGCGAGAGCCGCGGACCGAGAGGCGGAACCGCGGCACCGCGGAACGGCCGAGCCGCGGCCGGGCCCACGCTTTGTTTCGGCTTCGGAAGCCTGGAAACGCGAACGCGCCGACAGGCAGATTAGCGCTGAGCGAGGCACGGCCGAGTGTCAACACGGCTTACTCATCGACGCGGTGGATCGCGTCCGGGGCACTAGGTCGGCTCTGGGCTGGCTCTAGGGCTGCGGGGCTGCGTGGTGCGAGGCGTGGTGACACAAACGGGTCGGCCGCGGAACGGGTTGGCCCGGTGGTGGTGGTGGCTCGCCCAGCCTCCGCCCCGCACGGCCTGCAGCGCAGAACAAATCCCAGGGCAGCCGGTGGTGGTTGGCGATCGTCGGCCGGCTTCAGGTCGCGGGTTCAAATCCCCCACCCTCACTCTCCACAGAAAACTCGCGGTTCCCGTTCCGTCAAGGTGTGCATCCGTTTGGGCCGACATGTGTTCCATTCCGCCCGGGGCGGGGCGGGGACGTGTACCGCAGAAAAGTGCGATGCTTATCTGCAGAGCAGAGCGGGGCTGCACCGCCACGGCCTCGCTTCCTACTTCGATTGCCATCGTCAAGTGGCCAAAGAAGGCCGAAGTGGAGTGGAGTCCGCCACCGCGACCCGCCACAACGGCAAAGGCAGTCGTAGACTCATTCCGAGGGTCGTTTTCGTCGCTCTGTCGCTCTCGCACCTATACGGGGCGCCCCATGAGTGCGAGAGAGACGGAGCGACGAAAACGACTCTCGGAATCAGCCTGCAGTGCGCGGCCGGCTCGGCCAGCTCGGCGAAAAGGCGCCAACTCCCTGGAACGTTTCATCATCGCGCACTGCGCGCACTCCAGGGACGGGAGCGCTGGATTTATGCGACACATTCGGAGCGCGGCGCAGCGCGGTGAAAGGGAATGCTTGCCGCAGTGCAGGGCCGAACGGGCCGGGCCGCGCCGCGCTGGGCGGGCGGGCGTTCAGTTTCGACACGACCGGGGCGGGGCGGGGCGGGCCACACGGCTGCTCGAAAACAAGTGCATATCCATCTCATTAGGCTGGAAAGATTTTAGATTCGGAACAGGTGGTTTTCCTTCAGTGTTGCTAGAGGTGACGCGAAGCCGACCTGCTTAATGTGCGAGCGTGACGCTGCGAAGAGGGAACGGATCTCTGTTCAGCACACCGATTGTTTATGCGGGCCGAAAAAAGGGCCGTAGCCTATCGGCGCACTGTCGGCGCCCTATCGGCACTCACTCACTACACGCCGCCCGCACCGCCCCGCGCCGCCCCGCGCCGCGCCGCCCCGAATGTGTCCATATGCATGGCGCTGCCGCCCTGCCGCCGCGGCCGGGCGTGCATGGCAAATGCACTTTGGGCCGTGCACCCGGGTGGGGTCTTTGAAAAATCGTGTTTGGGGCCGACTTTAAGCATCCACTGCGTCTGATCCTAGGCGGTATTTCGTCCTCCCTCAACGGGCAATTGGTCTTTGGACCTTCCTTTAGCATGCGTTTGTTACGGAGTGCGATTATCTGCCTTAGTTTGGGAGCAGTATTGCCGCAAAGTTGATCAATACACGATTTTTTAGACATTTGTGACCGTTTTGACCAACTTTGCGGCAATACTGCTCCCAAACCAAGGCAGATAATCGCACTCCGTAACAAAGGCATGCTATAGGAAGGTCCAAAGACCAATTGCCCGTTGAGGGAGGATGAGATACCGCCTTGGATCAGACGCAGTGGCTGCTTAAAGTCAGCCCAAAACACGATTTTTCACAGACAATTGTGGCCCTTTTGATCAACTTTGCGGCAATACTGCTCCCAAATTAAGGCAGATAATCGCACTCCGTAACAAAGGCATGCTAAAGAAAGGTCTAAAGACCAATTGCCCGTTGAGGGAGGACGAAATACCGCCTCGGATCAGACGCAGTGGATGCCTAAAGTCGGCCCAAAACACGATTTTTCAGAGACATTTGTGACCGTTTTGATCAACTTAAAAGTTGTTCCCGCCAGTGCTCGGCGTGTGGGCCAGCTGGGAAACCGCCGCCACCCCAAGCGACCCCAGTTACCTCGCCGCGACCCCTCGAAAAGGTTGAGAACCGCTGCTCTGGGTTGTCCTTTGCCGACGGTTACAATGCGACTCTTACACCGGCTGCCCGGCCGCGTCGTTCGGAGTGTCCTTCGTCCACTCTTACTTGTCTACATCTCCCCGCTCTCTCTTTCATGCCGCGCGCGCGGCGTTGGCGCGCCGTGTCGGCTAATGATAATCGAGGCAACGGTAGCACCGTGCGGGGTGGAGAATTTATTCCCTCTCGTTCTAAATGGGCACGGCGCGGCGGGGCAGGCGGGGCAGGCGGCACGACGGGTAATAGTGTGGCCAGTATCTGCTAAAACCGTTCATGCATGGCGCCGTTGCAACAGCAGGGATATGCCCTGCCGCGGCTAATGCGCCGAGGGCACGGCGGCGCCAGGGCGGCGCCAGGGCGGCGCTACCGGCAGGGCAGGGCCATAGCGGGCCCCGTCGCCCCGTCTCTCTCGCACTGGGGGCGTCCCGCAGGCACCCGCAGGGGTGCGAGGGAGACAGCCAGCCTGTGCTGCTGCATGCTGCTGCACTGCACGCGTCGGTTCGTGCCTGTTGTTGGTATTAAAACGTTATCCAACCGCGGCCGCAGGTCCCCGCTTTTCCTCCAGCATGCGCTGCTCAGTGTTCACGTCGACGTGCTGAGGGAAGCACAGGAAGACAGGGAGGCTGAAGGCTGCTGCATGCGTCGCGTCCACGCCCCGCTTGCCTAGGCTCATTCCGCACGGTGCTGTCCTTCCCCCCCCCCCCTCTCTCTCTCTCTCTCTCTCTCTCTCTCTCTCTCTCTCTCTCTCTCTCTCTCTCTCTCTCTGACTCTCGCTCCTTGCCGTAATGGACGATCCGTCAGCGCGAGAGAGACGGAGCGACGACAGCAGCCTCGTGCAGCACGGAAAGTGGTAAATGTCGCACGCCGCCCTCGCGACCCTCCGGCCGGCGTGGGCGAGCCGCGGCCCACCACCGCGAGGACCGCGAGCAGGCCGAGCAGGCCGTGGCGACGCCCACGCCGGACACCGCCATTGTCTTCCCGGGCGATCAGTGCACACCGGGCGCCGCGCCGCGCCGCGCCACGCCGTGCCAGACCGTTCTTGTTTTCCAGTTGTCCGGCTAATTTGGAGTGAGGCAACGGGCAACGGGCTCATTGTCAACGCGCCACGCCTCCGCCTCGCCAGGCCTCGCCTTTGCCGCCGCGCTTTTTACTCGTCGCAGAATTGCAGTGGCGCGGCGCAGCCAGCGCAGCCAGCCGTTGTTGCCAAGACCTAGTTCTCGTTTCGGAGAAAAATGGCGGCCGGCCGCGTTTCGATTATTGAAAGCGACGACGCCGTCCCGCGTCCCGCATCCAGCTGACCGTGGCGGCAAAAAAGAGGGAGGCTGGGAGGCTTCATGCGGCCCTCTTCAATCAAGTGCATCCGATGGACTGTTTTCAAATTTAGGGGGGGGGGTCTCAATGTTAAAGCACGCGGCCGTTTCTAGTGAGTGTGTCGTATCGCGCCCCGCCGAGCGTGCCCGGCCGAGGCCGCCGCCATCGGCTGCCAGAGGAGCGCAGCGTGCGCAGTGCAGCATGCAGTGTAAGCCGCCGTGAAATTTATACCAAGCAAACGAAAACAAAAACGGAGCGCCAGCGGCGAAGCCGCCCAGCCCAGAGAT